GAAACTGTTTTCAACTTTCTGCTTTCAGAGAATTTCCACATGTTCAGGTGATGTGCACGTTATTTCGTCTCCTAGCTGTGAAAAGGCGCCAGCTGTCCTCTCCAGTTCAACAGTCGCTTCCCACCAGCAGGGGAAGGGCGTTGAAACTCAAGACCAGCTAGTTTGTATGCGACAGGTCTCCTTTTCATTATGTTAACAATGTGTTAAAAGGTTTCTGCCCATCCGAGCTGTTTTGAATGGGAACACAGATAAAATTCCAGTCTTGTTTACTAAGAGAGAGAGGGAAGAAAAATAGCATTTAGGCATTATAGCTGCCTCATTAGAATAACACCAGCGACGAGCCAGACGTCCTACCTACCTGCCGCGTTGAGACTCGGCGGTCACAAAGGGAAAACACAAAGCTCCTTGATGACTTTTCAGTTTGACAACGTGCATTTTTCTTTTTTCTCCTCCTGTTTTGTTTGGAAAATGAGCTGCAGGTTTTCCCGCTATCTGCTCTACTAATTCAAACCAGCTGCTGTTGAGCTCCGGTCGGATCTCTGCTCGCTCGGCCAACGGCTGCTGCGGCTCGGCCAGTTTACCACAGAATAGAATCCGTGTGTTGACAACCAGTGACTTTAACTGTGGCTAAAAGAAATCGCGTAGCTGCTGGACATTTCCAGTAGACTAAATAACCCCTTTGTTCCATAATTTGCAAACCTCAAACCTCTACAAGAATGAATGCCGTTGTGTAGCTTTGTGTGTGTGTGTGTGTTCGTGTCACATCGTAGCCGATGCTGCTGCTGTATCCAGAGTCCGCCTCCACCAGGCGACCCCGAGTAAAAAGGCCCTTGACCTGCTCCACGCGGAGGGCTCCTCTGCCGTATTGTGAGGGAGTAAACGCCCCATTAGGATTCATTAGAGCCCCTCGTCGGACATATTGTCCCGAGTGCAATGAGCCGCACCCCTGCGGGGCCCCCTGCTCTCCGCCGGCACGTGGCGTCCCTCACCCCCTCACCCTGCTTTGCCGCTCGCGCACAATGGCTCCAGCAGCCCCACGTCTCCCTCTTCTCCCCCCCCCTCCCCCCTCTTGTTTCGCCCTCCATTCATCAGCTGCTATCTCTGTTTCGACACATCGGCCCGATGCGAGCCCAGACGCCCCCTCCCCCCCCCCCCCCCCCTCCCGCCCTCCCTCTCTCTCTTTTTGTCCACCGTCTTTGCCTTTTTTTTTGCCTCCCCCGCGATGTTACAAAGTGGCCGGTGGAATCCCGCCGCGGGCCGTCGCCATGGCGATGGGTGACAGCGGGGAAGTTTCGTCCCAAGACGTATGAGGCCGTAAAAGCAGCAAGACAGTGGTAATGGGTGGACGGAGAGAAACGAGGTAGGCGAGCCGATGGGGGGGGGGGATGAACGAAGGAAAAGAGGAGCAGGTTAAACATCTCCGTGTGCAGCGATCATTTAACGCTCATACGGGCCGCAGTGATGGCCGTCCTCCATCATGCTGGCAAAGCCCTGTCAGGCGGAGGTGGAAGGACTGAGCTAATAGGGAAACCGTAGTTCACCCACAAAAGATCTTTCGACGGCCTCGTTCATTGAATTAGGATATAATTGAAAATGGAGGACTGTAATTTTCTCAGTGTTCGATCTGTCAATTCAGTCCTCCACATCCAGTCCCTCACGAAGCCCCTATTGTGCAGTCAGGAAGCCGTCTCGGAGAGAGTTATCACCAGGCCCGACTTGAATGCTTCATACGCCTTCAGGGAGGATCAGCAGATAATCACTGTCGACCTTTTTATCTACGACTAAGAGCACTCTGTTAGTCCGGTATGAGTCACGGTGAAATGTTGTCAAGCTGAAAAGGTCATTAGAAGTGGACACGGAGACATTTTGGAAGCAACGTCTGAAATCGCCAACATCGACGCCGATCGGAAGACTTGAACTTGGCGCTGGCTTTTTCTCGTCTCGCCTTCGTTTTATTCATCTCTCCCCCCCCCGTCAGAACCAAGAAGATGTGCGAGCCGCCTCTCGTAGGGACATGAGCAGGATTATCCTCACGGGGAGCAGCGCTGTCGTGCGTTATCATGTCATTGGGTGGAATCGGGAACCCCGCGCAGACAGATGCAGCATGTCTGTGCGCGCGTGTGTTTGAGAGACCACAGCGGTCCTGAAACTCACGTCCAATCAGTGAGGCAGCAAATGTCTGCCGCAGTTATTAATCCCACGCACGGAATGCCGCCAATGCAGAGCGGCAAGGCCGTCCGAGGAAAGCCTTTTGAGATACGATGCGAACGAACGCTTTTAATGGTGCGTCGACGAATATTGAGAGAGCGTAATTGAGCCTGTGATGTTGTTCTTGCACTCAGAAGGGAAGCAAAACCGCCCCAACGTGAACTACTTCATAGCGGAGTTGTTGAGGACACATTGGTCCGCTTGTTGTTCTTTGTTTTATTTTCACAAACAGGAGTGATGGTGGAGGGTTAGACTTGGTGTTATAATTCTGTGGATAATTTTGGGACCCGGATCTTCTTGAGTAACTGCTTAACGTTCGAGCCAAAGTTCGGCATTCATAATCATTCTTGAATATCTATTTTAAAACAAAGGAAACTGTGTATCGTAAAAGCCCACGCCGGTGAGGTCAGCAGAATCCATCCCATCTTAACAACTACTTCTATGTGCTTTTATGTTGTGGGGCTCAGAGGGAAGGAGTGAATTCTGACTCCCTTTGGTGCTTTGGATCATTTCCTCCTGGTACGTCTGTGTTTATTAGTGGTGCTTGGGGGAATATAACAGTGCGCTTTTGCAGCAGATACATTTGTGGTCATCTCTGTGTGTGTGTGTGTGTGTGTGTGTGTGTTTGTGCGAGAGAGTGTGAAAAAGACTGTCCTGGGTATTGAAATGGAGAAGAGCAAATCAATAAACAGTTCAACGGTTAAACTGTCAAAGTTGATTTGACAGAAATAAAAGACCTGTTAAACTTTTTTCTTTTTTGTTTATTTATTTTCCTATATTTATATGGGTCTATTCATTTATGGGCCTATGAGCAAATATGTTTTAGTGGGCATTTGCTGCAATTTACACTAACGGCCGAAGTAAATAATAAATTGTTAATAATATGAGTGAAACAATGAACCTCAAATTTTTCTCACTGAAATAAGTGCACCTGAATCTGAGGAACCAGGCTGCTGCTCACCTGCCGCTCCGTCACTCCTTCCTCCTCCACCTCCTCGTTTGCTGCTGGGGTGATTTTTGTGAGGGGTTCGCATCGTCGACGCTTATTCAACAGTATTTTTGGAGAGTGAACTGGTTATCTTTTAAATGTTGCACTCCCTCAGAATCAAGATGTTCCTTGTTTTTCTTTCCACTCATTGACACATTATTTATTAAATCGGTCTTTTCACTCAATGCCACTCTTTCTGCCTTGACCTATTTCATCATTTCCCGCGTGACTTCTGACATTACAAGTTGGACGGGTCCACTTGAAAGGGCAAGGGGGTGGAGGGTGAGGTTGCTGGAGGAGGGATGGAGGGAAGAAACGGTTATAGCCACTGACATGTCTCAGCCTGGACCTGTTTTTTTTTTTTTTGGCAAACTGTACTTTGCCAAAACGGCCCCCAAACCGACGTGCAGGAAGGGAGTCGTGGCTTGAGGATTTCCGCTCGTAGTCGAAGCGTGACCTATGAAAAACAGCTGCCCAAACACGGGACTTATTAAAAGGGTTTGTGGGCACGCTACCCTCCAAAAAGCTTCTTCCATCTAAATGTTTGTGGAACAAAAACTGGATAACAATACTTTTTAAATTGTGCTTTTTTTCATTTTCTTTGTTCGTTTTGGCGCCAGGATGTAATATAAAGGAATCCAATGAGAAGTTTGTTCAATGCAATCAAACCTCAGCCAGCCTGATTCCTACTAAAGGTCATTCTACATGGGGTCACCTTTTGATGGCAGCGTAAAACCAGCCCCCTCAGCACGTGCAATGAAAGATGACCCCCATAACGGTAGATGTTACATTTAGTAGCTTTAGGCCTGCATGTTAAAAGGGAAACACCTTAAAAAACGAAGAGGCGAGCGTTGGATTGGCCCTTCATTACTAAAACCTCTGGAGGCTGTAGAAAATGTCAGCGCACACCAGGTCAAGAGGTACCCAATCAGGAGAAGATGTTTGTAAAGAGTAGAGTTTGGGTTTGTATCTCGTTCCATCTTAAAACGACGGGCAGGTCCTCATTCTCTCCTTTTTATGGGCGTCTTTGCCCCCCCAGTTAAGATGCTTCCCAGACGAATCGCCTCAACAAAGCCGTTCGCTGGGCTCCCTCTCCCTCCCCGCCAACAATCCATAGCTGGGCCACTTCCTAGAATAGCCTCCCTTGCCCTACATTTTTATGGATACGGTCAATAGTCATGTTGATCCCTCGGTGACGGAAACACGGCCAAGGATACAGACGGAAATGAAAAGCACCCATTCGTCAATTAGCGTTTAATCAGTGCTTTAACAAGGCCTTATCACTGTCAATCAGCTGGTCAGCTGATCTTCAATCACAGTGACTTCAATGACTTCATCACAGCAGAGATAAAAGGTCATGCTGTTAGTTTCTGGTGGCGTTTTTTAATAAGGCTCTGCAAACATGCAGGAATAGCTTCACTCTCCGTTTCTTCTGTGTTTTTGGGAAATCGGCCTCGCTTTGGCAGTGAGCGCAGGAGAATTGGACCAAAGCAGAATGTCACCGCACCCCCTTAATGCCATTAGCACGGGCGAGGGGGCGGACGAAATGCTTGTTAGCCGGGCACCGCGTGAGGAAAAGGACAAGGCGACATGGCTGCTATTCAGCCGCCCTCTTCTCTTTCTTTCGGGAATCCCATAAAAATGCCTTTCTGCCCCGAGACTCGATCCCTGGGTGGTCCGAGCGAAAACTAAAAGTTCCTTTCTATTTGTGTCCACTCAAGCTAAATGACAAGGTATGACAAACGTTTCTCTTCATTGCCCCCCCCCCCCCTCCGTCCTGCCCCTCTGCACCTCCCTCCTGCAGGTAGTGGTGTCACAGCAGAAGGATGCCGCTGGGGAAGCGCACCATCGAGCCCCGGCACCTGTGCCACACGGTGCTGCCAAGGAACATCAAGAATGAGCTGGAGTGTGTGACTAACATCTCCTTGGCCAACGTCATACGCCAGCTCAGCAGCCTCAGTGAGTGGCCCACACACACACACACACACACACACACACACACACACACATGTTTTTATTTCCGATAGTACATTGCCGGTATTTCAATATTCCTAAAACTAACCGTCAATTTTGATAATCGTTTTTGCAAATGCATATTCAGTTAATGATCAAATCTTCTTACACTACTTTGTCTTGTGGTTCAGTCTTTTTATTTTCTACACACACACACAGTACCAGTCGACAGTTTGGACACGCTTTGCCATTCAATTGAATGTGTAACGTGTTCAGCTTTGTGGCAGCGTGCGTCCTGATCGTTCAGTTATAAAAATCCCAGCGCCCCCCGGGAGGGATCAATCACTTCGGGCAGCAGTAGAGACGGATGTGCCGTCACCCAGTTCAGAAGTAGTTTGGCACACTTTACTGACGGACAGACACGATGTCATGCTGCCCCGCCGTCCAGAATATTTACCATTTAACAAGAGTTACCATTAGAGAACAGCATTAGTAACAGTTTTCCTCTTTTAAAAAAAAAATACATCCTATCACACAGCTGTCTCAAATCTCCATCTAAGCTGTCGGCCTCCGTCGTTATCGCCGCAAAGGACTCCCAGTCGCCGCTGACACAGCGTTCCTCAAACTCCCGCGCCATCGCTTATCTCACATCTTTAAGCTGTGACGCTCCACAAAGAACGCACTCCTAGGCTTCTTTTTGTGTCTGGAAAAAGCCTTTTAGTGAAGCTTTTCACAACAAAAAGAGGAGCTCAGAGTTGTAGACTCCAGGTCCCCCGAGACCGCTGATGTGAAACCGAACCAACGGCTGGTGAAAAGCGAGAAATGACACTCGGGGAGAAAAAATGAATTAAAAGAAGAAAAAACACTGCTGCGTACAAAAGTGAATGGATTTGATTTTTGTTTTTTTGTGCATGAAATATGTTCTTTTAAAACAGTTTTCTGCTGTGTGTTTGTGTGTGTGTTTCTCAACAGGCAAATATGCAGAAGACCTTTTTGGAGAGCTGTTCAACGAGGCCCACACCTTCTCTTTCCGGGTCAACTCCCTGCAAGAGCGCGTGGACCGCCTCTCCATCAGTGTCACACAGCTGGACCCCAAAGAGGAGGAATGTGAGTGGTGTAACCACACACACACACACACACACACACAGTCACACCTTCAGCTCTTACTGCACCAAAGTGGATGTGCACTTGTTGGTGCCTTGTTGGGGGTAGGGGGGGGGGCAGGGTGAGAGGGTAGCGTAGCTGCAGGCGAGTGCAATGGGCACAAAGTAAAAAGACGGGGGAGCGCAGCGGTTTAATCCCATGCTCCAAGGCACCGCATCGATTCCCCACGGGCCAGCGGTTTGTTTACGGCTCTGCACAATGCTACTCTAACTGCTTCCTTGTCACTGACACGGAGACAGTAAAAGGCTCACCGGGCTCCACTCGGGAATGCGAGCGCAGCCTTTCGGTGGCCTCTTTTTTTCATTTTTTTTTTTTTTTTTACAAGCGGATGAATTGTTTCTTAGCTTTTACAGGCTCGCAGGATTGGGTTTTAAAGGGTTTGCGGAATGGACTCTTCAAGATCCAGATAAATGCGCCCTAGCCGTGCATCCTGTTTTCTTCTTTCTCATTGCCTCCCCTTTCACCTGCCAGTCTCCTCTTCCTGCTCTCTGCCCACCACCCTTTCTTCTTACCCCTGTGACTGCAGCCGTCCTAATTAAACGATTGTGTACGTGATCTAAATGTAGAAGTCTGTTGTGGACTGATAAGTGAATCCATACTATTCTTCTTCAGAGGTTGAAGTGCAAAGACACACTCATGCACTCCTTCTTTCATGCAACAAGGCCCACTATATTCCCCTGCATTCCCCTGATAAGATCGTAGTGTTTATCTGATAAGATACACATCTATAGATGGGAAATAACAGCAAAGCCAGTCTTTATTGTTCGGCACATGGCTTTTGTCCATATTCATGTCATGCTTGTGCATCTGTACGGTGATTATGAGTGATCACGTGCGCACGTGTGTGTCTCGCGCATCCCGTCATAAATAGGCTTGACTTCCCACCCTTCTGCCTGAAGCACTGGCTGTAGAGACAGTGGATAAGGATCAGCTCAGTGGCAGTTTAAGTGTGCGGTGGTAGGGGGTTTTGGGGGGGGAGGGCGGATGGGAGTCAGAGGATTCGGAGGAGAGAGCAAGAAAGATGGAAGGATAGAGGGATGGGCGCATAATACAGGGCACTGCAGCAAAAGCAGTGGAGTGTAAAAGAATTGCACCGCGGAATTTTCTGGGCCAGGTAGAAATGGCCTCTTCTGCGGGTTGAAGATTTCCCGCTCAGTGCAACTCATTGGAAGGCCTATTAAATGGTATTTTAAATAGACAAGCCTGCTTAACTCTCCTCCTGTCCCGACAATTGTAAAAAAAGAATATTAATAATTTGACAGATGGAGAGTCGTGGGAGGGGTTTAAGCGTGTTTTTTTTTTTTCCCGTTCTTCCCGTAAATGCCCCCTTCAGCCCCCCCCTTCCCCCCCCCCGCCCTGTCTTTATCCTCTCAAACACATTCTGCTGTAAATAGTGGAAAGTGCATGCTTTTAGCACAATCGCACTGCTGGCCTTGTAATCGTCTGCGTGGGTCTGTGGTCGCCATGAAAGGAGGGAAGAAGAGGGGAGGAAAGTGCAGGCAAGGAGGGGACCATAAATCAGGACTGTGGAGGGATAAATTAGGGGAGGGAGGATGGTAGGATCGGGGAGAGGGGAGCACACAATATGTATTCTACAGATACTGTTCACAGAATCCCTCTTTGAAGTGCTTTAAAAACCTGCAATGACAAAAGAAATAGACATTTTGTGACCAACTAACAGATTGTAAATGATTCTTATTCACGGGGAAGTTAGGCTACTCGCTAGCCGTGGTGCTTCCAGCCTTTACAGCGAGGACTTGCGGTGAATCACTGTAAAAAAAAAAAATATGATGATTGTGAACTAGGAAAGACCGCCCCCGCTCCATCAGCTAACTCCGCTAACCTCAACCAGAGCAACAGCGATGTGTCGTGATTCATTGGACAACGTACACCTCAGTCAACAGGCACGTGTTGGAGACAGTTAAACCAGCGTGTGCGTGGGGGAGAATAAGGCCCGCCGCATGATTCAGGACGCCGCCCACTCTGCAAACAGACTGGTTTCCCTCGTCCTCATCACGCAGCATCACCGATTCCGTTGCCTCAGCACCAGGCGGATAAATGGCCAGCTGCAGGGCGACTCCTGTGGTTAGAAAAAGAAGTTCGATTGCATGGATGGCTATGATGAAATTACTACTTCTCACTGGATTTATTACCTCTGTAACTATTTTAAATGTGAGTTTATGGTCTGAATCGCCAGGTGCAACTCTTCTAATACAGCATGGGTTAAGATCAACCCGAATATTTGCTGCTTCCTCCCCGTTTTGGGAATAGAGATCAATCCCGGCTGTTTCGGTCGCTCACACAGATGCGAAACAGCGGGAGGGCTGCAGGAATGAAATGCTGCACAGACGCACTGAAGGGAACGATGTCGGCACACGGACTCATGAAAGATGTTCAGCTGAAGGTCGTTGGGCTAGAGGGACGTGTGCGGTGTCATCTTGTGTGCTGTGGCTTGAGGTCAAAAGTGCTTAATAAGATGGATGACTGCACAATACACACGTGTACACACACACACACACACACACACACACACACACACACCGTTTGCTAAATAAACCTTTTTAAAGAGCAACGTCGTTCCCTTCAGGCCTTTGCACCCCTTCTCTTCTGACCGCTGACTGCCCCCCCCGACCGCACACACCTCCTGTCTTTGTTGTCCACCCCTGCCCACTCACATCTCTCTGATTGATCTCTGCTCCCCCCCCCCCCTTGCGTGGATGCTATTTGTGTGCTGTCAGGCTGCCCTCCCACTATCACTCCAGCCAACCAAACCAATGGGCTGTAACCCCTATTTAACGCCAGCGTTATATCACCGCGCTGGCCGCAGGAGCCCCCACGACCCCCTAGTCCCTGTGGATCCGACTGTTTCTTAATTTACTCCATAGTCTCTCTTTACTCCTGTTTTTTCCATCAGTACTATTGCCAATTTTCCGTTTTCCAGTCCCTCACATGCCTTTTGATCTTTCTTTATTTGCTTCTTGTTTTTTTCCCCTTCTCCTGTTTGCTAACCCTTATTTTATTATTTATGTACCTCTGCTCATCTCCCTTTCATCGCCGCCAGTCTTTCCGTTTCTCCCATTAAGGTCTATTCAAATAAGCTTTGCTGGCGTGACTATTAAAACACCTACCAAAGCCGTAGCTGTAAATGCCGTTTATAATGGGTATATTATAAAACTACAAACTACAAAACTCCTATTTGTGATGTAATGTATCTTTATTTTCCTCCGTGTCTGGAAACATTCATCTTCTTAAAGGCTTTTATCATTTTAAACAATCATTTTTTATTTTATTTTATTGCCCTTGAAGATTCTTAGATGACCCTTAATCTAGCAGACGTGTGTCGTGCAGCTGATTCAGAAAACGTTGGCGTGTGCTCGAGAGCTGCGTGCCAAGTTGTTTTGTTCACTGTCGGTGGTTCACATGTAAACTGGAATTAAGTGGGTGGAGTTAGTTTAACACTGAATATTGAGGAGGGAAGATTGTCTATATATTTGGCCTCCTTTTTATTAAAAACAATACAATATTCAAACGGATGAAAAATGCCTCAAAAAAACAACAGTGTATATGACATTTTATATCTCAATTTCACCACAGAGTTTATTTTTGGGAATATCACTGAAGCAATGCTGCTAATCAACGAGCAGGACGATTTGAAGGCAATATCCAATCTTTGTTCCGTTTTAATACAAGTGTTTATCCGTATGTGTATATACGTTTTTGAGGCAACAATTGCTTCTCATGCATCTCAACGACCCGCGACACCCAGCTAACAGTGCTAACAATGCCAACGGTGCTAACAATGGCGAAGGTGTTGACGGAGGTGACCTTGTTTGCCTGAGGGAGGGCCTCGGTGCCACTCCTCTGTGATGACACCATCGGTCGGAGCGGCGTTATAAGGTGTAACATCTCAGCAATTATGGAGAAGTTATAATTTACCCTTATGATAGGTCACCCAGAAGCATTGTGGGTGATGACCAGTAGACCGGAGTAAGAAACACTGATTAAAGCCTTCTAAAGGCCCAAACCAAAATGTTTAGCCAATGCACATAGTTCATTTACTCACTTCTTCAGTTACCTTGTAGCATCCCGTGTTTATACAAGAAGAGTCAGTAAGAGGACCAAATGAAAGAGAGGGCATATTTTCAACATAAAGAAGAAAGGGGTGGGAAAGAAATGACCAAAAACTATGAGGAGGAAGATTGATTAAGGGCTGCAGGAGGGGAAATATAGTGAGATGAAGGGCCATGTGCATGGTAAAAGATTCGGCCAATGCTTTTTCAAATCTTCAGAAGTTGTGTGTAGGAATGCATCGTAATGAGACCGGGGGCAAAGAGGGAAGACAAAAAACTGAATTTCCTTGAACCTTTTAAGGGAAGCTGAGGTGTGTGTGTGTGTGTGTGTGTGTGTGTGTGTTTGCAACATAACCTCCTCACCTCTCTTTGGTTGAGTGTGTTTCAGCCAGATGTTATCGGTCTCAGAGACAGATATGAGAGAGAGAGAGATAAACTCTCCACCACCAGCTTGCTGATAAGAAGTCTCACAGGCTGAGATCTGGGGCTGCTGCTCCACTTGACACACAAACACACACACACACACACATAAGCTTACAACCTCCTCACTAACTCACTCACTCAAAGTTCACTTACATTTTTCTCATTAGCTGAATGTCTTCATTAAACGGGCGTAATTGGTAGTTCAGCTGCATAAGTGACATTTTGTAATTCGATATCAGTGATTGTGTGTGTGCGTGTGTGTGTGTCCATACTGATCAGTGCTCAGTGTTGCCTGGCAGAGACTTATGGCCACCTCAGTCTGCATCAGAATCATCCTGACACACACACACCCACACACACAGTTTCTCAACGTGTGTTGTTTTTTTTGCCTCTCCACATTTTAGTCACACCATCTGACGCTCTGCTCTCCCTAAAAGCATCGGGGCGGCGGGTCACGGCGCTCTAGGTCGGCGCGGAGCACTCAGCTACGTCAGATTGACACTCACCGGTTGGCCGAGGGCTCCTTCTTGCCCCCGGCGGGTTGTTTGTCATCACTCTAGAGTTCCCCAATGTCAAATCATCAGTGGGAGGGAGAACGGTGTTACACTTGCCCGACCTTCACTCTGACCTTTCAGTGGAAAGAGTGAAGGCAGGCAGTGAAAAGGCCGACAGGGATCCCCAAAGCATCACTTTGATCTTCATCAAATGTATCGATCTCCATATGACTCACTCCCCTGTGATTGCAGTAATTGTCATGCCACTGATTTATTTATTTATTTTCATTACTCACCTCTTGTGTCGCTGATCCAGGAGTTGAGTAAAGACCTCGGTCCACAGATGTACCTTCCTATTGGACAGTTCTGCTTTGTTTCCCCATGAAATGAGAGATTGACCAATAGTCCTTCAGGTTCCTTCACTTCGGGACATGTCTCACATTTCTCTCTTACAGAGGTCATAATTTGTCTTTTTATTTATTTTATTTTATTTAACCTTTATTTAACCAGGTAAAAGTCCCATTGAAATCGAGATCTCATTTTCAAGGGCGACCTGGCCAAGAAGGCAGCAGCACACATTGTTAAAAAACAGCCATAAAATACATATACATGACATGAGTAAAACCACAATACAAATTAAGTTAAAAACAAAACACAAAGAAAAAATGGTCAAAAGCAGAGGCACCGTTCAATAGATTTTCGTTGTCTGTTTTATGGCTGTTGGTTCTTTCTTCTCTTTCCGCATGCTAGTTTTTATCGTCTTTACCTCCTTCTCTTATATATTCTCATCCTCTTCTCGCCATCAACGCGTCCTCCTATCTAGGGAATGCTTCCTGTGTGTGTGTGTGTGTGTGTGTGTGTGTGTGTGTGTGTGCGCGCGCTCCTGCTCTTTCTTTTGCCGTTAGTGGCTCATTAATCCGTCCTCTGTTTACGTCCACTGACTCGGCTCTGTCCGAGCAGTTCTATTATCACCCCCCCTCCCCCGTCGCTCTCCCTCTCTCTCCCAGAGGGTTACTTACCGAGCCCTGCTGGTGTTTGTTAATAGTGATACTTCAGTGCCTCAGGTGGCGGATGTAATTACCCAGACGTCAATGAAGGTCCTGATAACTCCATTGTTCTACTTGATTGGCTTATAGTAATAAATAGTTCAGTATCCGATTATATGATGTTTTATTTTTGTATGTCGTACGATACAATATTCCTTTTGTATGCCACATGACTTTCAGTCTGGGCGCCATTGAAGTGTATCCATTTGTCATTCCCTCATGTTTAATTCAGATCCAGTTGCGACGCAGCGGATTTATTTCTTTTTCTACATGGCCCGACCAGATTGAGGGTTCGCATAAGTGTGGTTGTTTTTTTTCCGTCTTCCCCTCAGCAATTTTTCCGCAACCTGTTTTCTTTCTGAAAGATTCAGCTGTGCAGCGTTGAGTTATTCTCTCACCCCGCGTCAGCTGTACAAAAGACGTGCATTTATCTCCACGGCGTCTGACAGATGTCAGGGTTAGCCTGGCCTGACCAATACTCTCCTCCTTCTGCCCCGTAGTGTCTCTTCAGGACATCACCATGAGGAAGGCCTTCAGGAGTTCCACCATTCAGGACCAGCAGCTGTTTGACCGAAAGTCGCTGCCCGTCCCGCTGCAGGAGAGCTTCGAGACGTGCGAGCGGCCGCCACCCCTCAACATCCTCAGCCCCTACAGGTCAGACTCCAGTTTCATCACTTCACAAAACGCTGTCTGGGTTTTCTGGTTGCACTGGAAGTTTTGTTTTTTTAAAGTAATCGTATACTAAAAGTAAGTTCAAATGTGCACGTTGAGCCCACGTGTCGTTGATTAAGAAGCAACATCGTTCTTTAAGTAAAAAAGTGACGTTACATACACCTGGAAGGTTTAACTGCAGCTTTTTCTCAACCTGACAATCTTTTTTTATATTTATTTCTTCGTTTGCTGTTATTTGACCCATTCTTCAGCATCATACTTTTGCACACAAAAAACACCCGAACCTGCTTGTACACTTGTGTCGGTGCGCGTATTGTTATCCCAACCCCGGATAAGCAGATGAAAATAGATGAATGGGTGGATGTACAGGAAGTTAGCTCCGGTTACCTGCCAAAAAAATGCCTTGCTCCATGGTTAGTGTCTCCCAGTGGGTGAAGAACTGTTTGGCAGAGTTTGCAAACTGAAGGCTGATGATTTGTCAAACACAGACAGCAGAGGGCTGTTGTTTGGTTATTGAGGGCGTGATTGAGAACGCTCCCGTCTTTGAAAGGTTTTCCATACATTTCACAAATGGAAATACGAGTGCAGATGGCCATTTAGAAACAGGCCAGGAAGGAAAGAGAGACCGACATCACCGGGACAATTTGCAAGGCTTATTGCCGTATTGATATATTGAAGATGACGTCTCTGGAGAACATCGCTGGAGGTTAATCTCCTCGTCAAGGAGGACCTTTTCGATGGGATTACTACCTGAGTCTGTCGGAAGTCTTGTTCCGTTTCCCTCCCTGTAATCGTGGCGCTGCCCCCCCCCCAGCGACCACCAACCACAAAGGCTTCTGTAATGCGAGTGAAGTGACAACCGAGAGCAGAGCAGAGTTGAGAGAGAATGAATGATAACACAGGACATGAGCTATTAATCATGAATTGATTACGTTGTGCGAGATTAAACAAAGCATAGAAGTATTTACCTCGAACTCTGGGAAATCAGGAGTTTCTCTTTCTACCATTCGCTGTACAAGAGAATAATTGGGTCAACGATGACATTAATAGTTTGTTGGAGCTGTAAATTGAATAGAGCTTAATTTGAAATGTGGCATCATCTACATCTGGAGCTCCTGTTGTTGATGGATGCCTCATTTTCTTGATTGAATCATTTGTAATTCGCATTGTATTTTTTTCCCAGGCTAAAATGTCTCCGAATGTCAAAGAAAGAAATATTCAGTTTATTGTGTGACCAACACGGGCAGAAAACCTTTGAGGATAAACATCAGCCTCTAAAATACATTCTTGTCATTATTTAGCCTTAGAAAAAAAAAAAGGAGCACAACAACCATAATGCAATGCGATTCCTGCGTCTCTTTTGTCCGTCTGCAGGGACGACGGGAAAGAAGGCCTGAAGTTCTACACCAACCCGTCCTACTTCTTTGACCTGTGGAGAGAGAAGATGCTGCAGGACACGGAGGACAAGAGGAAGGAGAGGCGGAAACAGAAGGTATGTCAGAACAACAACAACAACAAGCGCCGCACATTTCACCTTGTGGTCAGCGATTCGGGGGCCGTTCTGATTCCTGTTGCTGCGGTAGATTGACGTGTTTGTGGTGGGATGTGAGGACTCGAGCACCGAGGTTAGCCAGTGGGAGGACACGCAGTGCGAGTGATCAACGGGCTTCCTGTTGTCTCCGTAGATGAGGATCGACGTGTCCTGCTTGAATACACTGATAGAAACACAGTCCCGGCTGCAGACCGATGCATTGGTTTGCCTCCACACGGAGATGAATCACGTCTTCCTTCAATCGAGCCTTCTGCTCATTACCTGTGTGATGATCACATCTTCTTCTTAATGCGACATTGGGACAAACAAACAATAAAATGCACACACGTGCAATCTGAAGTTAGATTTTTATGCAGCGGAGTCACATAAGTTGAAGAAAAGCGCTCGTATCCCTCAACAAATGCAGAGCTTTAACCCCCCCCCCCTCTTCAGAAAAGAGGGGTTTCCCACTCTGAGCATCAGGAGCTTAATCACTACCAGCTTGCATTTTCATGCGTGGGAAGCAGGCCGTGCTCCACATTTTGCCCCTTCAGTCAATCAAAGCTTATTATAGTCCCATTTCAATGAGGAACTAGGAGAGTGATTTTTCACCGAGGGTTTGTGTGAATGAAAGAGGACATAATTCGTTGGCGATGAGGTTTTTAACGATTGTGTGAATTGGCTCGTACGGCACAGAGGGCAAATCAAGCTAAGAATTAGTTGGTAGGATGTAAAATGAAGGATATTTATTTGCTGTTGTGTTCTGTTTTAGCATTCATCCCTTGTGGCTGAAGCTCATTCCAATGATTTCCTTGTAATTAAAGCCCCAGGTTGGCTCTGCTAGTGGAGCCATGTTCATTTCCCTCTTCCCCGTACTGGTAAGGCCGACCAAAGGAAAGGCCCAGGAGACATTCACGAGGGGAGCAGGCTGGATTAGAGGAATTACGTACACATACTTGTTGGTTTGTGTAACCATCGTGGAGGATAAGCGGTCTGAAGTATCGGGGCAAACACAGCGTGGAGGAGATATGTGTGTGTTTTATGGAGAGCCTTCAGAGTCAAGGAAAGGAAAATGAAGAGTTACTTGCATTTAATCACACTTTTCAGAAAGATGCTGGCGTCGTCACTGTCGCTCCTTTTCAGGAAACCACATCAGATTCGGTCGGACTCGTCTCCCTGGTAACCAAGACGAAAGAGGAGTAGCTTCTGCTGGCTGTACAAAACCAGCATAAATGCAAATGCCAGTTCGTCATAGTGGTGATATGTTGTCATAGACAAAGTGCTCCCCAGCTTTAGTTCCGGAGAACAACGCTACATGCGGACACACACTCACATTTCCTTAGCTCATTGAATCGTTCCGCCCCGTCGTCTCACAGTGCCTCTTGAGTGTCAGTGTTCATGAAGTGCGTGTGCGCGTGTCTGTTTGTCGCTGTAAATTATGTATATTCTTTGCACTCCAGTTTAATATTTCAACGGAAGATTAAAGATACCGGCTAAATCGTTCTCTGCTTTTTAAGTACACTTCTTTTCTTCCATGGGACAGTTTTGCCATCGTTAACCCGGATGCTTTCAGACACACACAGACAAAGGATGAAATGGATCTTTATCGACCATGATCCAGCATTCAGCCGCAGTGTCAAGGACCCGACGGGCCGTGCCACCTGCCAGTCACCGTGACGCTATCTGAGATTAGCTGCCAACACTTTGTCCCGTGACAGACAGCTCCAGCTCTGCCTCACTTTCTCCTTCCACCCTCAGGTCTCTGTTCTATCTCTCTCTCTCTCTCTCTCTCTCTCTCTCTCTCTCTCTCTCTCAGCTTTTTTTTTAGTTATTACATCACTAATGTGAACCTTTTTTAGATATCAACGCATATCATAATGCGGCAAATACGTGCAAATATAAATCTTTTTTTTTTGTTGAAATGCTAGCTTTAAAGGAAGGAAAGACAAACACAAGAAGTCTGCCCTATAAACATAAAAGGAATATACATGGTATTCAGGTCAATAAAGAGGCCTTGACATGTTTAATAAATAGAGATCAGGATTGTGTCTTAAGGGAGCTCCAGCTTTGAGTAGCTGACTCTTTTAAAAAAATGTCTCGACTCATCACCGCTTGAGTCCACTGAAGCGGGATAAGGGTTGTTGATGCCTTCGAGTGAGCAGGAACTGATTTCAGCGGGTTTACAGGGAGGGGTCACGGGTTCAGGTCAAACATTCCTTTTACTCAACAGAGGATAGAAAACAAATCAAATGTTGGAGCCTGGAGGGTCAAAGGGCCGCATGAGATGTGGGCAAAGGGTGAAAAGTAAATTCACGATGGAGTGAAGTACAATTTAAACATTACAAGTGTAAAGATTATTTTGTATGTCAGAGGCTTCTTTCAGTCAAAATAGGTCCAGTTCCGAAACTGCGCCTCCTCATTAAAGCGTAAATGAGAAAAGAATTAAATTGCTTGATCAAACCCTACTTCGTCTCTTTTAATCAACAGCCATATTCTCTCAGAGTCGCATCCCTCATAGTTGGTCGGAGACCAAATTCACACACTCCACGTTACACACTGGCACACACAGATTAGGCAGCCAGCGATGAATGGAATAGCAGCAGCACAGAGGGAAGGGAAAAGAAGCCTACAGTGTCCTAATCTCATTAACTCCTGTGTTAGCCTCGCTCTCAGTGGATTAGGGATAGACTGTGCGCTGAGCCAGTCGCAGGGGGGACGGAGAGACCGAGAGGAAAGTCCCGGGGACCGGGGGAGAAAAGAGGGGAAGAAAGCATCGCCGGCTCTCTCTGAGATCACACTGCATCAGGGGTTCGTCTCTAGCGACTGGAACTCCCGTGGAGACGCCTGCTTTGTCTCCGCCGCTCATTATCGTGCTCACAGACGGCGGAATGTGCCTGATCATCATAATGAAATACAGCTACATTTTTTGCCTTTTTCTTCTGTTTGAGTACTATCCTACTCCAGAAGTAGGATACTACTTTCAGGCACGTTAATGAGACTGAAAGGAATTCTTGAGCCAGTATAAAAGGTTTCCCCCCTTTCGTAGGTGACTGATGCTACTACATTTGCAATGCTAATGTGATATACAGATAGTTGTCAAACTAGACAACAATAACAGCTTAGAGAAAACCAATATACTAATTTAAGTCTTGCATAAAGTCCTTCTGCGCACTTGTATAAAAGTTTAGAGAGACGGGCGCATCAGAACAGATCAGGATTATATATGAGTAAGTAAGGATGCTACACATTGGCACCGATCAGAAGAAAACATTCTTCCTACACATCCAGCCTTATTCCAAAGGACCCGTACATCAGCAGTCAACGAAGAGGGTCACATCTCCGTCTTCACTGCTTTCCCATGCCCGGCCCACTTGCTGCCGTTGCTACGGCAACGACTCTCGGGTCCATTCGAGAGACTTGAGAAAGCCGGCTCGGAGGATTGAGACCGACACGGCGTACAGTGCCCTGCTGCTACGGGCCACGGCAGCTGCTCTCACTGTCAACACACACACACGGGATCTTTTTTCGCCAGGCACACTGTATTGGAAGAAGTCCAACGCAAAAAAACATTAATTCTAAGAGTATTGAGAGAGAGACTTGAATGTGCAGATGTTGTAATATTGCAGATAAAACAGAGGAATTTATTAAACTTTGACCGTGGTGGTTCCGCAGCTGTGGCCTAAACTGTTATTAGTAAAGCACTGCCTACTTTAGTGCAAACAAATATCATTATCCTCATCCAAAAGAATATGCATGCTAATTATTTCAGCCTACATTAAACTGCAGTTGCATGGTGTAGCAGGCAGCGCTGGCCAGAATGAAGCTCTTTAATTACAGCTAACTTTTTCTTGCACCTTTTTTAAACATGGGGATTGAGAAAGGTGGAAAATAATATATATATTAAGGTTATATGCACCAGCTCATTATCGGAGCATTCATGTAGGGGTAAAAGAGCCGATGGAGAAAGACTCCAGACTTTCATGGTAATAAAAACAACTTTCACACTCAAAGTATGTGAAAATATCTGCTATTTAAAGCCCCGGGAAGACACCCAACGTACGTGTGAACACCTCAGTGGGTACCAGGATGGTGTTAGCGGCCCGGAATTGGGAATGTTGAAATACCGCTTCAGGATCTCTCTTCCTCTGTCTTCTCTGAACCTTTTGCTTTACATTTTTCTGACTCCTGGTCTAACTCTGCAGCTGGAAATGCCTTATCTTGTGTGTCCCAATGGCCTCATAAGAGTCCTTTCCGAAACCCCTCCTCCCTTCCTCACTGCCCCAGAGGTAAGCGCTTCTCCCGTCTCCCTCCCTTAACCCCCAACCCTCCACCAGAGCATCCGCTCCCCACACAGTAGCCTGCAGCCCCCCCCCCTCTATCCACTCTCCCTCTGGTTTGCTGTGGACAAGTGAGCTCCCCACCTCCAACCCAACACCTAACAAGCCTCCACTGTCTGCCGAACCTGCCCAGAGTGCATCCCAGTTCTACTCTGGTAGAATACACAACGCCATTGAAGCATCTTTATTCTGTTGTAGAAGAGTGCAATACACACAGTTGTTGCCAATGCATACATCCATATCCACCGCCACTGGAAATGTACTTCTAGTCTCAGCCGAATCTGATAAAAAAAAAAAATGAGCGATCCTATTTTTTTAGTCATGCTTTTAAGGGTAATTTGGGAATTCATCAACCTCCGACCTTATCTTGCCATGTTTTTGTGGTCTAAAAGACTGATGGGGACAACATTTTAGTATCAAAGCAGAATGCTTCAGGTGGAAACCGGTAAAGCGGCAGTAATAATCGCCTGAGGCAACTCCTCACCGTCAGTTCACGTCCACTAAAAGTGCTCGATTGCCACCAGCGATCACATTACAGTCTTTTTAGCGGATGCCGTCTGCCGCATTCTCCTTCAGTACTCGATCAATTTCAACAAACTGTTGCTCACATTAGCCACTTTGACACAAAAACACATTAATTTGGTCGAGGGTTGAAAAATACCTGCACATAGTTACACTTTACGACCCTCGGTTTACACGATAAAGCCACCAAAGTAAGAAATGGAGGATTTTACGACACAGCATGGAGGCTCTTCACTAACAGCAACACTACTCAGTCACACGCCAGGTGATCGCAGACCTGAATTAACTGCACAGGCCTTTGGAATGAGAATGAGAAGCTCCCTTTAGAGGAGTTGCTGGTATCTGTTTAGTACACTTTGACACATTTCAGCAAAGATGTCTTCTTTGTTTTGTTACAAATATCCATATCCTAATAGCTACAGGTAGACATTTGCCTTTCTTAAATGTATGGTTATGATTTTTGATTGTGTCATCAGAAGAAATCAGGAAGCCTCAGATAATTACTGTGCAAGGCTGTACAACCCAAATCCAATGGATTACCAAGTGTGTATTGTGTGTGCGTGTTATTGTCAGGGTGGTCCAGTTGCCTCACTGCGGGGGGGGGAAGCATAGCCCCAGTTCTACTGAGTCTGTCGCATTGAACATTCAGGCAAACACGCAGAGACACACGCGGGTACACGCGGAAATGGGCATACGAGCGAGTATGAAGGTGTGTGTGTGCGCGCAGAGGAAAAGTGTGAAATCTACAACTGCTGCGCTGCACACACTCGCAGGGCCTGCGCAGACGCTTTCTCCTCCAGCACAGCTCCATTCGGATGAAAGATGACGACCTAGCGGAGGCACGCAGCCCTCGGATATTACACACATTTATAACAGCTGCGACGCACACACACACACACACACACATTCTGATTTGACATTCGTGTTGCTGCATCACGCTCGTCACTCGGTGATGCTCTGCGTTGGACAGATGGTTGTCTGCCGGCATTGTGCGTTATGGGTTTTCATCCGTCTACCACCTGTCCCACCTGCCCCCTCATTGTTACACCAAAGCCGTTGCAGATGTTCACTCCTGTTTTTACGAATGTCGTCCAAAGGCTTCCTAAAATATCGTCAAGACGAGGTAACTGCAGAATCTTTAGGGAGTCCGACTGAACGTAGCCCCCCTATCAGACGCTTCAAAGCTCAAAGAGGGCAATGGGTTAAAGGTTAAGATTAGTCTCTCCAGGTTTGTGTGTGTGTGTGTGTGTGTGTGTGTGTGTGTGTGTGTGTGTGTGTGTGTTACTCTCAGCCAATGCCTCATCACGGGTAAATGGGCCTTGTGAATCAGAAGCTAATCAATATTCATTACCATTAGCATTTATTCCCACGCTTGCGTTCAACATCAACATCACAACCCACGTTTTGAAGACCACTGCACGTGCTCACGCATGCACACACGTGTGCGCACAGGGTCACAGGAATAAGCAGGGTCACCCTGGTTGATTTAAGTGACTTGAAGAAATTGATCAGGAGATTGTTTCAGAGGCATCTTTCTTTATTTTTACCTGGTCCTGAAACATTTCTCAGCACACACACAAATATGAGTACATCCACCTAGAAAAAGGTTTTGTATGATGTTTGATTCCTTTGAAGCCAGAGAACCAACAAGGGGATATTATGTTTGGGTGGAATGCGTTCACCCACAGTGTACTACAACATGCTTTAAAGCTCATTTCAAACCGACCTACACTTGAAGCATAAGACAGTGTTTTTCTTGTCAACAAATCCCCCGAGAAGACTAAAGCAACAATTGATTCCCTTAACACGTATTGCTTTGTTATGCAAAGCCTGATATATCAGATTCCTGCCATAAAGCTACTAAAAGCGCACCAGGCAGATGTGCACTATGCGGCATGTTTGTTCATTACAATGAAGATGGGCATTGTTTGTTTTAATCCCCCCTTTAGGGCTCAAAATAAAAGGGCTGCATAATCCTTCTAATAGTAATGTTTGCTAAATCTACGGGCTGCGGTTTTAGAAAACGATTTAGCTTTAAAGAAAAAAGAAAAACAAATGTGTGACCCGTCATTAGATTTATATCCTCGGTATGAAACCAAAGGGCTGGAGGTAAGGTAGTCACAAACTATTGCTAAGCCTTATGCTCACACACCTTTACCCAACACATCTGGATAATGGGTTTCATTTCTTTCTATCTGGATTGCATATTATTTTCTTGAAACTTTCATTAAAATTTCATTTTAGTGTTGTTGTTGTTGTTGTTGTTGGACCTGTCACGTGTCATTTGGAGTTGACTCGAGCGTGTGTGTGTGTGTGTTTGCCATGTTTTGTGTGACCTGTTGTTGTAAGTCCTTTGTAGCTTGTCCTTCCATTCCAGTGAAATCTCTCTATTTCTACCTCAGTCTTCTTTCAGTGTGTGTATCTGTGTGTGTGTGTGTATGTGTGTGTTTGGACTGGACTGAGTGTGCCGCTGCGTCCTGCAGTACCTGCATTGTGCCGCCCCCCCCGAGCGTTGTCATTTTCTGTTTAACAGCACTTCTTTCCCCCCTTTAGTCCCGCCCTCTCTAAACGGCTACTCTGTGTTTTGTGGCCGACTGTGTGCCGCGCCGTTGTGCTCAATCCTGTGCCGTGTTGATTCTGTGACCCTGCCGCCCTCACGGCCCCCCGGTGCTTCTCTTGTGTTCTCTTCTTTTTCTTATAGTTGCAGGACCCCCGCATGTATGACCAGGTCTATAGGTACTTGGACCTTCCAGGAGCAGGTATGTGGAAATACAGCCGTTTATTTCAAAAACACAGATTTCTGCTGCAGCAGCTCGCTGCTTTGTTTCTTGTGTTTGTGTTTTAAATCCGTCACGTTCAGGTCTGGGTAGTAGGAAGTGCTATTTATCAATTACCTTATGTGAGTGTATAAAAAAAAACGTTCTAAAACTTTGTCAGTTTATATTCTAGTATAAATACGTGCTTGCACGATAACTGGATTTGGCCCGAGTTAGTCGACGAGCGCTCCCTGTTCCCCAGCTTGTACCACATCGCTGCCTAAACGCAGGAGGGATCTGCCTCCTCACAGAGCTCATTCAGTATTCTCTACTTGTAAACCGGTCCCTCGTGGCTGATTGTATAGTGGTAACTTGCCATGATGACAATAGGATGCCGTTAACAGCAGCTAATCTGGTTTCTTTTTCTCTCTTCCTGCTCGCCTCCTTATCCTTTCCCTTCATCCACAAACCATCTCTTACCCCCATTTCCTTCCTTCGCTCCCCGTGCCATAGATAAAGGCGATCGAGCGCCCGCAGGAGCCCGAGAAGATACCGCGGATGCCTCACGATCGGAAGAAGGAGTGGCAGAAACTGGCACTGGGCGCCGAGCTCGCCCAGGACATTCCTGACGACAAACACAGGGAGGCCAACGGATCTGCTGGTTACCACGACAACAGGTACGTCCAGTATTCGTCACACATCTCTGAGTGTACAAAATATTTATGTGTACTTTCAGGCGTGCAATTAGAATTTCTTCAAGTGAGAAAGTAAGGGCTGCCTCGCCTGTTACTTACTAGCCGCTGTGAAATGATGGGGGCTAACGGGCAAATGCCTGCTGGTACTCCGTTGAAATACGGCACGGCGAGCTGCGGGTAGACTGATTATATATCAGCAGGACTTAAGCAGGACATAGTTTACATGAATAAATTCTGCCCACTTAACGGGACGAGTTCATGCAATTTGTACTCGCAGCTATATTTAAAGCGCTGCGTCTCCAGCGCACATTTCATAATTTCTCTGACAGGCAACGTGATCAATAAAGAAATATTTCATGCAAAGTGATTGTTTATCAGATTTGTTAGTGCCACGGATCGCTGACACGAGGCATTTTCTCCAGGCACTGATGAGGAATTACACCGCAGCGTCAGCACACACAGATGGTTGTGAAAGTGCTCCTTTGGTTTGTCACCCGAAAGCCGCAGAGCGTAATGAACACACTCGCCCGGACAATAAAAGCAGGACAGCACGGCCGACCGAGCCTCGTCGGAACTATAATTGTAGCAGAGGCACATTCCCAATGAAGAAAAATATATATCTAAAAGATACAGAAAAAACGGCAGATGCGTTACGCCCCTCATAGTAAAATAATGGATCGTTGGCTTTGACCATCTTCATATGATTCTACTTCTTGTATTTCCCTTTTTTTAATATTAAGATATCTAGATCAGATGGGTCCAAAGACGATGAGAAAATAAACATGCCGTCTCTAATTACAACTCAATGTGTAGTTTTCTCACTAATTCTCAAAAACAGAATTTGACAAGCTTGGACATAATTACATCCGATCTTTGATTTCATCACCAAAATAGTTTATTTTTCTTTCTGATCAGGTGTAATTACACGGTTGTACACATCTTTGTGTAACGGTCAAAATTTAGATCCACTGGATGATCATTGTTCCCAAACCTGATGCTGTATCCTCCTCAGCATGTAGGATGATTTACAGGATCCGGGAGGAGAATATTGGTGATTTTGTAATACTTCTTTTTCAAATCTCTGCATTTATTTCTTCAAATTCCTGAACATAATTCCGATGAATCTAGAGAGCTTATGGCACAAAAGGGACTTCTCGACATGTGCAGTAAAAATGCACGACAGGGCCTCACGAGTTGTTTTGATGGTTAGAAGCCCCCCGCGAAGAGTGTTGACCTTCATCCGGTAAAATCTGTGGCGAAATATGAAATCGTTTTACTTCCAGAAGACGAGTACAGAGACTAAATGAAGCAAGTGCAAGCTGTCAGCAGGATGCGAGACTTTTTTTGTTCCGTCTTAAGGGGCCTTAAGGGAGAAACTGGAGCTACGCTACACGTATAGAAGAAGAATACAACAGAAACTAGATTACTTTTTTTTTTTTTTTTTTTAAATCAGCGAGTTGAATTCAAAGGGCAACCAGACAAACTGTGAGTTAAGGACGACATGTCTCTGTGCTCAGGGCTCCCTCGTACATGGAACATTTGGACGGGCCCTTCTCGCTGGCGGCGCTGCCCTACACCCAGATGAACGAGCTGCTGAACCGTACTGGGGACAGAATGTATTCACGGCCCCACGACCCTCCGCCGCCTCCACCCCTCATGCACCCACTGGGAGAGATCAAGCCACCCTCTGTGATCAGGTGGGACAGGAGACCACACACAACCTCAGTTTCACGCCCCACCGGAAAAGCTTTTAATAGAGCGCTTTCGTGGTTGGGCTCTTCCACGTTCCCAATTCTGCTCATCTGATGCTACAACCAGATCCATGAGGGGGGGGGGGGGTTAATTACTATTTGTCAGATACACACAGACAAAGTGCAATCCTGTTAGTTTATTTGGTTTGCTGGTTTGTTTTCGCTCTCTTCTTGATGACGAGGTTCAGTAATTGGCATTTCATTATTTATTTTTACTTTTATCTCCGTTAGAGCTCCGCAGAAGGACGCAGAGGAGAAGGGATGGAGGTGTAGGTGGAGGTATTGCGGATCAGAGCTGAAGGAAAAAAAGGGAAAGGCTGAGAGCAGGATCAATACAGCGTTAAGGCCACTGAGCGCGTTACATGTTGTTTTTTTCTGCAGCGCACTTTTGCCGCATATGTCACTGTTTGGAGGGATGGAGAGATCAGGCGGAACTATTAAGCAGAAGGCCGCAGCACCACAGAAATATCTCATTGATTTTTCACAAGTCCTTGCAGCCATCTTCCCCTCTTGCTAAACTCTCTCCAGACATCTCGTTTTGATTTACTCTTCAGACTCTTTCTGACCCGAGGTTCTGGCGTCTAGCCGTTTTTTTTCAGTCCTCGTGTTCTATATTGAATTTTCTCAATTTATCGCCTCGCCGTATTTGATGTAACGCACAAAACTCCACATGAGGCTGATGCACAAGCTGCACATTGTTCCACTCGTTGATCGCGTGAACTACGGCTCTTTATTTTAGATTTCAATGCAATGCGAAACAAACCCTGGAGCTTCAAATGCGAAATGATATCAATGTTTTGTCCTCCTCAGATTTTAGCCGTCTTAATTTCCCGCCATGAGCTCCTTTTCTATTTCGTTTCTGTCTCTTCATGTCTAGCTCCAGTTCGGGTTTCTCCGACAGCAGACCCCAGTCTCCAGCCCGGACCGGAGGCTTCAACTCCAACACTCCTCCTCCGCCGCCTCCCCCTCTCCCACCTCCTCCTCCCCCTTTGCCCTCCTCAAGCCTGCGGGGCACTCCTCCACCCCCCATTCCTCCTCTACCGGTCCAGCAGCAGCCTCTGGCTATCCCGCCTGCCCCGGCTCCCCTCCAGATCGCCCCGGGGGTGCTGCACCCGGCCCCTCCGCCCGTGGCGCCTCCCCTTCACTGCTCCCCGGCCCATCTCCAGAAAGTCCTGGACAGGGGCCCACCTGCGGTCTCCGAGACACAGTCTGACGGCAGCGTCCTGCCTCCTCCCCCTTTCGCCTCCTCCTCTGCCCCACCCAGGAGCACGGGGCTCTTTTCCCTGTCACTCAGGCCCGCCCCCTTTGCCGGCCTTCCCCTCGGCAGGAGCCATGGCCTCGCCGCTGCCGCCCCACAGCCTGCACGATTTCGGCAGCAAGAGGCACCATCCGGCCAATCTGCCGCCCATCAGCGACGCCCGCAGCGTCCTGTTGGAGGCGATTAGAAAAGGTGGGTCGGGCAAACAGTCACTGCTTAGTATGAGGTGCATGATATGTTCTATGTGTGATTCCTTGTGTGCTTTCTTAGTCAATTCCACACCTTTGGGTTTTTTGGGGCTGAGGTCCAGACAAAACAATCGATTCAAAAGACTCAATGTGACTCAACGCTGAACTTTCGTCTTTCAGGCATACAGCTGCGGAAGGTGGAGGAGCAGCGAGAGCAGGAGGCGAAGCACGAGCGCGTCGGCAACGACGTGGCCACCATCCTGTCGCGGCGCATCGCCGTGGAGTACTCGGACTCCGAGGACGAGTCAGAGTTTGACGAAGGAGACTGGATGGAGTGATGGCGATCGGAGGGATGTGAGAGGGAGAAAAAAGCAGCGTTGGAAGCAGGAGAACAAATGTGTTCAGGTGCGCCCCGCCCCCGCCTCTCCCCTCTCCTCCACCCACCCTCCAACCACTGCACTCACCTCGTCTTCAAAGAGACCTTTCTACTCCGGAAGGGAGGGAATCATCATTGTCGCCCACTTTTTTTCTTTTTTAATCGCCGTCTCATGGTTCGTGTGTCGGAGTAGAATCTCCACTTTCTAGTGTTCCGAGGGAAGTTTTTGCATTGATTCTTTTCTGCACTACCACGTGACCTTGTTTTGTCTTTACTATTGTTAAAAAATAACTTCTTTTTTTTTTGAGGAACCACTTGTTTTTGTTTATTTGTACATCGATGTGAAGAAAAAAAATACGAGAAAAATGGAAAAGGAATAAATAAAGGCATGTTGCATTTATCCTTAGTTCTCCAGCGCCGTTCGGCCCCCTGGTGGCGGAACGTGGCATTGAATGAAGGCGGTTTTATTTTAAAGTCTTTTATTTACCTTTCTCTGCTAATACATTTGCAGTTTTCACGGGCCAGTAGTTGTTGATACTGACCACTCCACGAACGGCCCCTCGCTGTGGGCTGTCTTTTTTTTTTTTTTTTCATTTCTCTCTTGTTATCAGGACTGACTTTACCACTCAGAGCAAAGCAAACGATTGTGCTGGTATGTCATGTGACGATTGCTGTACGGTTGAAGTTGAAAGAAGGCGAGTCACATGTCGGCTTCGGCCACACGCGTGCATATCCATCCACTTACGTCTAACTTTGACCCCCCCAGGGAAATGTATGCCAAGAGATTGAGCTTTTTGTCTGTCCAGGATCCATGTTGACATCAGGCAACGTCAGAGGTAAACGCTGAGCCGGCGTTTTTTTTTTGTTTTGTTTTGTTTTTTTGCATACTGAGCTCCCATCGTTTTTTCTCAAGTTTCTTGCCGTAGAAATGGACACTGGGAAGTGATTAGACGCTGTAGATGTACATCACCTTTCCTGTCCCCGATGATGCTGAGAATTCAAATGAGGACTTTGAATACTAAAGTAGGTGCCGGTGATAACGAGAGTCTGAGCGACATCAGATGCAAACCACTCAACACCACTGAAGGTAGCTCTTCCCTCAGCCCCCCCCCCCCCCCCCATCCCCTCCATGCCGGGTACCTGCCCGCTAACGAGAAGGCTTACCTGCGTTGGTTTCACAACAGCAAGGGGCGTTTAAAAGATTACAGTGATGCTGCCCTTTCAGGGCTGAGAGACGAATACATTATGGCTTGGTTTTGGCTCATTTCCAAGAAAATGGCTGCCCATCCCTTTTCCGTTGGGTTGTTCATTTGGTCCTTTCTTCTACTTGCCTTATTGTTCGTACAAAACGTATCGTTGAGTTGATGAATGTATCGTGCTGTTACTACTTACTTGCCTGCGCTTGTATGGATTTGCTGTTTCTATGTTTGGGGGGTAAAAGAGACGCGGGACAGAAACCCTGGTTTAAAAAAAGATTAGATCAATACTGTAAACCATGTAACTTATGTAACTGTTTACTGTAACAGTTTGCTTGAATTAATAAAAATCTAATGTTTATGTTTCAGCCCCAAATGTTAAGGGTTTATTTCTTTAATGTTTGTTCACAGGACGATGAGTCATCACCAAGAAAAAAAGAAAATTAATAATTAATCTAGAAAGCTGCAGAAAACATATATAAACATAAATGTAAAATCATATCTTCCATCAATATATATTTAAGAAAGGATGTAATTTGTATGAAAAAATGTGTGTGGGTTCCCGGTTTTAAATATCTTTTTAATAAAGTGTCAATTGATTAACAGTTAAATCAAGCTCACAAACGTATAAGGAACAGGGTCCCAGATGTAAATAAAGAAACACAAGTTGACAGTTTCGTGTACCGTCACACATTCACCCTCACATCCTGCTCCTGTCATCCATCCTCATCCAGCTCTCCTCCTCCTGTGCGTCTTTGTTCCCGGTTGTCGGTCTGAACAGAGGCTGCTGCGGAACTTCTCCTGTTTACCTTGTCACTCTTTGTCCTCTCAGACTGCAGTTCCAAAGACGCTTTGGGCATTTGAGCTTTCACGTCAAGGCGGCGTGTGACTTCCGCGCCTCAAAAGCGGCTCAGCTTTGGGTCCGCGCGGATCAGGACTTGAATAAATCGCGTCGAGCTCTCATCGTACTGACGGGAGGAGGCTTCTCAGTGAGCTGTTCTATTCGTGCTCGGGAGAAATCCAACAACTACAACTTGAAGGAAATGGCCTGACTGGTTTCCCACCCGACATTGTCGACAACTAGACAACTGTATTCGACAGACCTCAAATAGTTTCAGCAAATAATCAGCTGGTGCATCCTGGTAGATTGTTCCTCATACAACCCTCCTCCTACATTATACAGCTATTGTGCTCAAATAATTGATGGTAAAACAAAAGCTAAGAACAATACCATCTTGCCTTAATGCTAAAGTCGTATTGTATGCGTTTCTCCTCGCTGTAATCTTCACAGCGGCAGACGTCTTAGTGGAACAACCCCCCCACTGTGGCAGTAGTTTGTGTAGAAACCTGTTTTAAGCATAAACTGTGTATGAATAGTCGAGCGGCTGCACGACGTATTACTCAGACCCTCTTTTAATTACCTAAGGGCATTATTATTAGTAGCACATTCCCCTGGAACATACAGAACCACAGAAGGTACAAATCTTTTGCGTACCAGCAGTTTATTTTTATCTTCCTAATGAGACTTCTCCATCAAGGCATTTGGAAGGTTTATAGTGTTACAGATGCAGAATGCAATGACATGAGTGCAAGTACTGTATAAACATAACTACACGGCGTGGAAGTAAGCCTTTGCATGATGATACAGGACTGTTGACCATTGACTTCATCTACAGCTAAATGAAAGGTGAACGAAATACCGTGAGTTCATACTTCCAGCATCATACAAATATTTGTGGCTTCACATATTTCATCTATACTTCTGTCAAAAAGCCGTGCATTTCCCAGTTTAAGTAACAAGAACAATAAGGGCCTCTCTAACACAGAAAAACAACCACGACGACAATTATACACTCAGATATGTTTTGCAGGCAATAACGTCCCGGGTCTATCTGCAAAATAGTGGAACGTGTTCTCTGGCCGGTCACTTAACTTTGAGGGTGTTATTCTTCCTGCGCGGCAGCTCCTTCTGGACCTGACGGGCCCGCGCGCCGAAGCCCAGAGACTGCAGAGACTCGGTGACGAAGCGCTGCGTGGGAGACACACACAGCATCACCAGCAGCTTGGCATCGCCGCCTGGTGGAGAGAAATAGCAAGAGGAAATCATTTAAACTAAAAGATTTGATTTCAGTAAATGCAGTGAGTTGTTGTCTCTAATATTAGGCACTGACAAATACAGTATTTGAGTATTTTTTCGAATTAGTTTGTGTACGTTTACGTGTGTGTCTCCATACGGGAATCGCTCAGCTAGATGAGGACATTGAGTTTGAACGAGTCCTTCCAATGGAAAGCGGACGTGAGAGACGTGAGCCATGTAAAAGTGAGAACGTGTGTGTGTGTGTGTGTGTGTGTGTGCATCTCACCTATGGCGTCCTGTAAGACATGAGTGAGTTTGCTGTTCCTGTAGGGGACGTGTGGCCTCTGCTCGGCCAGAGCTCCCAGCACATCAGACAGAGCAGAGAGACTGCGGTTTATACAGGACACCTCCCACAGAGCTGCCCCCGACACTCCAGACATGCCTGGAACACACATACAGACACACGTTTGTTTGCCCCGGAGCCGATTCATCTGCTGAGACGGCAGGCACTGGTTGCATCGGGTTCGGTTTCCTTTTGCATGTGTACAAAGAAGTTGTTCAAAGGACCTGACTCTTCGGTTTCGCAGGTGCTTATTTGATTGTTTAATCTACGCAAAGCATATTTGGCTAGAAGGTACACCACTGAAAACGGCGGTGAGCTTACCTTGAATGATGCTCATTGCTGTGTAAGCGCTTTTTTAATCTCATCACAGACGAGATAAAGACACACTTGAATTTAATTGGAAGTGTGCGGTTTATCTGAATCCTCTTAATAAAGCACACCAGCAATAAGCAATAAAGCCAAAACGTTCCGTCCCTCACCGACACACTCGCTCCCGGCCAAGTCCACCAGCTGCAGCTTGGTCCTGAAGGGAGCCTGCGAGACGCTGGGCCTCGGCGAGGGGCACGGGGAATGGGAGGGGGAGCGGCACGGCGAGGAGGGCGTGCTGGCGAAGAGGTGGTCGTTGGACGAGCGGTGGGCAGCGCCGCCGGGGTTGGCGCGGCGACAGCCCGGGCTCCACCACTCCTTCTGGGCGGAGCGCTGCATCGCCTTCTTGGCACTCTGAAGCCTGCGGGCTGAACGGGGAGAGGAATCAAGGCACGGCGCAGGAGTCGTTGGCGCCCGGGGGGGGGGGGGGTGCGTGAGAGAATACGCGCCTCACCCCAGGGCAGAGCGTTTGGGCTCTTGGGAGAAACCCTGGAGGTGACGATGAAGTGAGAGCGCGAGGAGTCCGCGTGGAACAGGGTGGGACAGTGAGCCCGGAGCTTCAACACGCTGCCGATGACCTGCATGACCTCCGAGGCATTATGCACAGGCCTGTGCATATGTGAAGGGAAGCACACACGCCATCACCTTTCATTCCCAAAGCCGTTATGATCACATGACGACGCATGCGAAACGGCTGCTTGGGCTGCACTCACTCGTGTGTGAGGGAGGTGACCTGGCTGGTGCCGGCGGAGTTGGTGATGACCTCCCGGCGCTGGTCGGCGCCGCTGCCCTGCGCATCTCTTGCCAAAAGGTCAAGCACCTCGTTGTTGTAGACCTCCATCACCGACACCTCCACTGTGAGGGTCTCGGCGGGCTTGTCAGAGATCAGCCTGCGTCACACACACACACACACACACACACACACGCAGAAAGAGATGCCAAACGTCCAACAAACGTCCAAAACGTCCAACACAATTATATTTTATTCCAACTCATAGAGCACATTATGAATGAATGGGATGAATGGTTTTTTTTTTTTATTTCTGAGGGATTGAAGGACACACTTAGTACAGTAAATTGGGCCAGATCTCCTGAGCACAAAAAACTATAAATGTCATAATCTTTCCCACCGAAAGAGCTCAGCAGCAGCCTTGGGGATGATTCCCTGCTGTGCTTCCTGCTGCGGCCCCCAGTGCTCCTCCAGCAACTGGGATCCCATCATGGTGTGAGTCTTCCCACTGCCTGTCTGCCCATACGCCATGATGCACACATTATAGCTGCAGGGTAGAGATAACGTGCAAATCATGCTGCAGCCAAGCAGTCCTATTATGCCGTCATAGTTGGAACGAATACACTCAAGTGGCACGTGGTTCGTTGTCTGCTTTCACACTCACCCGTCCATCAGGGAAGTAAGGAGCGGCTTGACCTCCTGGAACACGGCCTCCTGTGAATCCTCTGGTCCATACACTCTGGAGGAGACGCAGAGCAATGATGGGTGAACTGGAAATCAAGCCGACTGACGCGTGAGCACAATGGGAGTGTTTGATTGTACCTCTCAAACTCGAACATCTTGTTTTGCACCGGCGTCCCTGTTTTGATGCAATTCACCATCACAGTGTCCTTCTCCGACAGCAAGAAAAACCACAAGACAGTGAGAACTCTGAACCAACAACGAGATCAAATGAGTTCAAAGAGTCTGGAACTCACGCTGCTGATTGCAGAGACCACTTCCTCCGATGACATAGGCCTGATGGGGGGGGAACATAGCTTTTCAAGCACAGTACAACTCAGACCCAGTTATTGATGTTGCCACGCCGGATCATGCGTTGACCCACCTGGATCCAGAGGTGGACGACGGGACGTAGTCGAAGGGTAGAAGCGGTCGCACCCTGCAGTGAACTCTGATGTTCCCCCTCAACTCCTGCAGCCAAAACAAACAACGGCAACGAAGGTCGACCGGCTGTCTTGCCGTTTACTTTTATTACCTTTGGGGAAGTTTTTAAAAATCGCGTCGTTACCACCAGTGCATTGTGGAGCGCTTTCCTCCGCTGCCTCTCGGCCCTGCACCGCTCCCTCTCCTCCTCCAGAGAGCGCTCCAGAGCTGCAACATCAGCTTGCAAGTCTGGGTTGGGAGAGAAAACAGTCCAGTCAATGTCCATTCATGCACTGAGGTCAAAGGTTTCTAGCACTGGCTTCTATGCTAAGATTTCACGTCCGTTGTTGAACGCTCAGCTTTTTTTTTAAGGCAGAAGGCAGTAAAGGATGAATTGTTTTCTTTGTAAAAAAAAAATTAAAAAATCAACTGCAGGGCCGGAGGCATTTTCTCTGGCGTAAATCTTTGAATCCAGGCCAGGTCTTTAATCCTGGGGCACACAAGTGCAAACACACACCTGGCACCAAACGCCTCCTTTCACTCAGGACACAGGCTGATACGTTCAGGAATAGCCTCGGTGAACGTGAATAGAGCAGAATATTGTTGAGGGATTTCTGTGTCTAAAGTACGTTCGGAGCACGTGCTGCTGCGTAAGTCATAATCATACAAACACAAACATAAGAACTGCTGTGTTTTACGTTTTAATGACAAATACATGAATATATCTTCTAAATGGTTGGTTTATCTTAATAGGACGGGATGTTCACAGCGCTACCATGACTCACGTTCAGAAAAACTGGAAATAAAGTGCACTTTAAATTGAATGTATGAAAAATATCGTTGACTCAGTGTGACAGAAAAGGGAATATTTTTATTTGTTAGCTCTGATAAATAGCTAGATTTTACCATCACTAATAACAAGAAAAATCACTTTAATTAAAACCGCTTGCGGCGTTATAGCTTGTAGTCAGGAGGATCAGTTTCAATTAGACTCCATTAGAACCACTCAACCTTGGACAACCTCGGAGGGCAGCGTGAGAGAGGGGATGACGGGAGGGACGGTGTGAGAGGATTATGATGAAGCCGCCACACGAGCTGTAAACCCCTTAGGGAGGCAGGGAGACACGCGGAGGGAACGGTAGAAAATGGTAGAAAACGGGGCAACAGGACGGAGGGATCTAACAAATGATGCTTTAAAGAACGTCTTTAAAGATAATTGTAATCACTTCAGAAAGTTTAGACTCAGCGGCACCTGAATAGACTGAGATTTGGCAAATAGAAGCAGAGCAAAGCCTTGTGCACACTCTATTAAGGATAATAAGTTCATTGTTATCGTAACACCCACGGGACAAAAGCGTTACCTAGACTTTTATGAACTGCTCCTATGAAAAGTTATAAAACATGTGCATCAGTCAGTGAAAGGTGGTAAATGATGCTACATTCCCTCAGAATCACAACGTGAGGACGATGTCAGAGGCGCAGCATCACACCCGGCTACTCACTCTGAACCTCGTCTCCACGGTGACCATTCAGAGAACAGCTGGCTTGCTCTACTTTGTCCAGCAGCTGCTTGCTCTGCTCCTCCAGCTCGCTGGAAAAACTGAAGTACACTGCGAAAAGTTCACTCAAGTCCTGCTTCACAGCCTGCAACGAACACACACAGAGGACTAATCAATTGTGTTGATTACTACTTCCCAGGGGTCGTGGTTTCTAACTACGACCTAACACAACAAACGGGCGTCCACCCAATGTAAGATGTACACACGGCACGTTGATCTGAGTGCATTTGTACCTGGACCTCAGCGAGGAGTTTGGCAAGGGACAACTGTGTCATCTTCTGAGCGTTGCTCTGGTGCTGATGCTGGTTCAGGGTCTCCTCTTCATGGTCCCGACGGAGTTTCCCCAAACACTGAATGGGATATGAAATCAATATGCATGATCTGCACCGCTACATTTTCCGCCATTGAGTTATTTAGCGGCGTCTCATCCGGTTGTGAATTATATGGGACTACTTACTTACATTGTAGGAAGTGAATTTACAGTAATGCACCGCATTAAAACGGTGCCGTTAGATGCTGCACAGTTAGTAAATACATATTGAACCTTGCCACCTTATTGAAACTCAATGGTATGCGTACCAATAATATGCACAATGTTAGGACCCTGAAAGCGGCACGTTATGTGAATTTCCTTCATTACACAGGTACTGTTTCCTATAAAGTCCTATAAAGCCAAATTAAACATTTTACCTTGAGTAAAAGTCCTAGCTAATTGATAATGACTCATTTTAGTATTTAAGTGTTGGCATTGAACACCTAAAGGCTCAGTCTACTACTTAGAATATTTTGCCCTTATTCTCATAATATAACAGACATACTGTACAGCATAAAAGGCGTTTAGGCGACACACGCAGGCTCAATTGTTCACTAGAATTTTTGTTTGCCTCGCTTATAAAACTTTAGGTGAAATTACATCATACGATCCTCCCTGCAGTCATGAACTGGGAAAATAATTCTAATTTAATCCAAGTGGCACAACATTTAGAATTATGTCCATCACTCCGTAGCGAATAGAATAGAAAAGAGTGATGAGGGATTCCCAAAGGCCTTAAGGTTTTACCGTGTGAGTAATGAATGGCAGACATCTTATTACCTCGGAAAGTCTTAAATGGAGAATAGCGTTCTCTGTCTCCAGCTCCAGTATTCGCTCCTCTTTACTCTGAAAACACAGTGAAATATTACAAACAGGATGGGTTCGGTGTGTCGAGTCACAGACTCCCAACCTACAGTACAACGCATGATAATTCTCCAAATGAACTTATTTCACATTCTGAATTACACTCCAGCAGTGATTTACCCTCAGTTTGTGCTCCAGCAGGTGTACCTGATGCGCAAATATCTGGTCCCGGTTAATAAAAAGAGGCATTTTTACCTCAAAGAAAAAGAAAAACGCTCGTAGAGAATAAACACCAGGGATCTCTCCTTCCACAGACGGTCCAGTCAACTCGAATAATCCAATTAACAACAACTTACAACAAAGCGTCACCTGTCTGCTTCTGCGTGGAGGGGGGCGGGGTGGAGGGGGCGTTTCCGGCAGGGTTATTCCTGGTGAAATAATTTTAATTTGGCGTTGGATTAGTTGATAATATTTGGTATTTTCTGAAATTCCCCGCGGTTTTCTTAATTTGAAATGACACTTTAATTAATTTTATTTTTAATTTAAACATGAACAATATTCCAAATTGATGCAGAGTTTCTTTGCTTATTTAAAAAAAAGGAGAATGAAATGAGTGTTGACGTGGACGCATGCCGACAGAGGGCAGCGAAGGCCTCCGAGGAGACGAGCCGGAAGTAACAACTGGAGAAGAACGAAGAAGAAGAAAATCACTTCCGCACAGTCACAACTTCCCCGCCAGGTTCGCAGCGCTTTCCGTCACAAAATGGCTAAATTGAAAGACAAAAGGCGAGAGAAAATCAGTGTCGCCACTGAGGTAAGACGTTTAAAGACAGTTAACGTCAGTTAGCTCGTTAGCTTCCTCCCGCGTCCCCACAATATCTCACACACACAAGAGTTTACGTCACACATTTCATTCATTCACTCACTCACTCACTCACTCGTCCAATAGCCCAACTATGTTTTTTTCTTCTTGTCTCTGTAGATTGATCGTTTGGAGGAGCGGCGGGCGCGTTGCCACGACAACCTGGAGAGGGCTGAGTTCAGGAGCAGGAGAGAGAAGCTCTCTGACAAGGACAGGTGATGATGACGATGGTGACGTCATGCACTAATTGTCCTCATAGTGAAATGTATCTGACCTGCGGTTGGTCCTGGTTTCATCCTCTCTGCTGCACAGGCACGACCTGGAGGATGAAATGACTATCATCAATGAGAGAGTCATGAAGTTAGGTACGTATATAAATCTCCAAATCACTGTCCGGTAATGTTATATACAGGATATATATATTGGCCAATGCGTACCTGTGCTGTGACCATGTTAGTACCTTGGCATGTTGCTGAAGCGCATACTAGTAGGATTGATAAGGCTACAGAAACGCAGATTCAGATCATCAACATCCGGAAATCAGGATGGACTAAATCAGCAACTGGTTTATATTGTTATGTTTTTTACGCATTCACCACGCCAATGGAGCAATAAGTCACTCATCAGTTTCGTAATTGAATCTAACTGATAACCGACATGTTGGCGCCCTCACATTCATTTGTTTGTTTGTCATTTCCAGACAAGGAGCTCGAGGCGTTAAGGGGAGATAATCGGATGAACATGCTGCTGTCGGTTGCTCTGCTGGTTGTCAGCGCTCTCTTCTACTTTGTCTTTTTCTACAACGAAACGGGCTCCTGATTGCCGCCCGGCAACTTGAAAGCGGCCTTGCGTCTTGAAAGAACAAATGACCACTGGGCGACGTTGCCATGCGATGACGTACAAGGTTGCCGGCGGAGACGGAGCGCTGAAGCCCTTCAGTTTTCCCTCTAGATGGCGTCATGGTCATCGTCCCGATCCCTTCTCGTTTCTCATGCACATCTACTTGGACCGGAGTAAACGAGATAATACCGGGGTAAACGGAGTGATTCTCTTTCCTTCAGCTTGTACACAGGTCGGTTTTCATTGCTGCATAAAGATTTCAGTGTATTTTAACATTCAAAAGTTTACCCCCCTTAAACACTTCAATGGAACGTTTATTACTTTTGCCTTATGCCACAATTATACCAAAGTAGTGATGCTTTTGTACAATATATCCTTCATCTAAATGGTGCCAATAAAGTTTGCTTGTCTTTTCGTTCACTTAAAAAGGAACGTGTGTGATAATGCATGGTACACATGTCAAGTGTGCAGTTAAATGGTTGAAAATGACACATTTAGTTTTTTCTCTTGAAATAAGAGTTGCACAGCATGTTTAATCGTAACAGCATACAGAGAACCGGAAGAATGTAATATTATGTTTTTGATACTCATGCTGGCAAACGTGTTGAACACGTTCAGAAATGTCTGTAATACGCATGTGAAAAATTAGCAATAAAACTCATCATGGATCTATTTGTTTATTTCATGCTTCTCATCAATAAAAGTACTTGATGCCAATATATGACGCACTGTTTTGCAATTACAAAGGCCTGTCTAAAGGCTTTCTTAATTCATAGTGTGGTTTTTATAAGTAGCGTTTCTCATATGATTCATAGTCCTAATAAAGGCCCAAATTGGATGTCGCTTTTGAATAATGTTTTTTTCCGGCAACTAGAGAAAGAAAAACGTTTAACATGTTAAAGGACATTACCACTCATTGTGCAAGAAAAGGGTTTCTTATTCAAGACATTTATTGTCCTGTTACAATTTGAGGTAAATTTGAGAAGGTTCCATAGTTTTTCTTAACGTCAACGTAAAACCACATAGTAAATACATAATTAAATCATTCTTAAAATAGTTGGGTGCTGTAGGTTTAAATAAATGGGACTCAAATGGGAGACAATGCAGTTTTTCCAGGAAAAAAATCCATTTCAAATCCTTTCAGACGCTTTCATTTGATGCAAATGAAAGCGTCTGAACAGCAAATAATGTTGTGTTTGCCTTCTGTTCTACACTCTCTATTATGACCAACACAGTCCGCAGCGCGCCTACGCTCCCTCAATCCCTCCTCCCCCAATCAAACACAGGTAAACAAGCCCATTACGCAACACGTCTCTGGCCACTGTTTCAATAGAATATTCCTTTTCACTGCGTGGTTTGATACTACGGCCCATTTTTTATCTGTTCTTCGTAGTTAATAAGTATGAAGACACAAATGAGTCTGACTACTCTGATAAGTGACACAAATGATTTTGTTATATTCTAGATTTGACTTTCGAATACCGTTTCAAGTATTTACTCTTAAATACAATAAATTTAGCTGAACTTCTTCGCATTGATGATAAAACAATTGATTAGTGGTTGTAGCACCGTCAGCGAGTTATCGGCCTACTTCAGGTCAACTGCTACAACCACTACTTTTAAAATACGCAAAAGTTCCCTCCGCTCTGCCTGCAGGTCAGACGCTGACCTTTTGTGCACTTTTCCTTTTGCACGACACAATGCGTTAAGGTGCCTCAATCCAAGACGGAACAGGACTTTTATTATAGATCTGTCTGAGCACCAAAATGCCAGATGTCACCTCAGATGATTTTGTTTTGGAAGCGGAGAGACGTTCTGAGCTCCTGAGGCTCAGAGTCAGCGCAGGTCTCATTACGTAAGTCTGATCATCTCTCCAGGCACTGAACCTTCCTCGCTGCCGGTTCACGAGAGCCACGTGACATCAGGAAGGTTTTCATAGGCATTGTTTTGTCCAAGTTCAATTCAATTAAATGTGTGTTTCTTGTATGCCGTGAATAAAGAGTTCACCATGTGAAACTTTACTGAGGTCAAAGCGCAGGAGCCACAAGAACAAAATACATTACGAACCTTCTGGATCCTCAGATCTTCTGGAAGGTACAAATTTCACAAAGCAGCTCTCACTGAATGTTTTAACATAGATGTACCAAACTAGATATGCACATGTATCATCTGTAAACTTAAAAAAGAAAAAAAGTCATTTGGGTTCATAATCTACTCCGAATGTGGTCGGCCATTTTTAATTTTGTAGGAATTGACTTTTTTATAGTATATTTAGACCATCACCCTGATATATATTGTTTTTCTTTTGCCTCACACACAGAACCCTCAACGTGCGTCCATGTGCGAGGGCCCGAGCAAGTCTGCTTGCAGCTTTAATTATAATAATTAAGGATTTTGTCACTCTGACCTGGTTACGGATATTGAGTTTTAATAGGAGTCAAATGGTCCAAACAAAGCCAGAATGCGTTTGATTGGCTTGAACCCACTGGGACTTTCTCCGGAATATCTTGAGGCATAAACAGTTTTAACGTGGAATCAAAGGCCTCCCTTCTTCAAGCCTTGATAGCCTCATAACTGCAATTATTATAAGGGTCAAACGTTGAATGTATTAGTTTGACAACATTGGACTGCACATAGTATCTTCCAATTAGTGGAAAAATGAACAGAAGTACAGAGACATTTTTGGAATCCTGCTTCTTGATTTTTGATTTTTTAATTTAAAACTAAAACGCGTATTAAACTCATTGTACTTTAAAATACATTTCTACATACATTTCTTCTGAGAAAACCACGGGAGAAAAACTAATGCTCACCTGGTCAGCTTCAGGGATTCAATCTCTCACTCCCACACACACACACACACACACCTTCACACATCATGCGCGCAGCGTAAACAGTACACAATACAGCTAGCAGGCCGCACATGCTACGCGCACCTACCCAGAACCTGGTAAATTGCCCATGACAAATCATGATGGGTTCTGAGCTAATCATAAGCACTCCATACGGTGCCATGCTGAGCCAACACAAGAGGCGCATGCACACTCACAGACACACACACATGCGCACAAGTCAGGGTTGGGGTGTGTGTGTGTGCTCATCGTGGCAAATCCCAAAGACTAATAATTGAGTAGCCATGTAGGCAACGTTTTCCCCACAGGTACCATGCAGCTCCCTGTGGAGAGCACAATCAGTATTATTATTATTTTCTTTGTCTGTATTTTCTCCATTGTTCTCCAACAATCACACATTCCTGTATGAAAACGACAACCCAGAAGCAAAAAAATGTTATTTGGGTGATAAAATAATCATTAAATCAGAAGCATTTTCCATCGAGCTCATGGCTAAATGAGCGATAGCAATGTTCCTATGGAGAGCGTTTGCTCCACCGCTGTAATAAATGGGGAAATCAGTCGGCTGTGTACTTTGGTAATTGCCTGTAGAGCTGCTCAGGTCTGCACCGATCAAGCATTACATAATTCAAACATTGCTACCAGTGAGCCCCTGTTTAGTCTAATGGATGTAATATCAAAGGGAATATGAATTCTGGTGTTGTTAATAAAAACCTGTGCAAAAATAAACTCCACTTTGCTGCTGAAAACAGGCGACACAGGTGCTAAATGTACTTCATGGCGTTTTCTTTATGAAATAAGCATCTGCTCTTGTTTGGACATCATGTTACTGAAGTGAGGCACCGGATGGATATAAGCAAATAAATACTGATCTGAAAGTTAAAAAGAAAGATTTGTGCCTTTACTACCAAGTTTGAAACTCAATTAAATCAATGAGCCGTTGACTTTGGGACATTTAAAGTCTTTTCACATGACGTCTTGTAGATTTATAAATTCACACAATAAGCTCCTGAATATGTAGGAATGATTTTCAGATATTTTTAGATCACGTCTTTCCACCAATTGCACACGTGTAGAACAAACAGTTTTCAGGTTTTCTTATTTGCAGAGTGACCCAAAGCAACAGCTGTTAAGAGAAAAAAAACAAGGTGAACAAACATCTCTTGCTCTAAGAGCAGCCAGGCGTCAGTGTGCGGTCCATTAGTGGCCTTCAGCATCTCTCACCTTTCCCCCACTTTGTGACCCGCTTCGTACTGACTCAGGGATTCACGGCTCTCTAAACAGCCGATTATTACAGTTCATAGTCCGCACGAGGCGCAGAGGCACTGTTTTGCTGTTGAATAAGAACTCTTTGGTAAGACGTGAGTGGGAACGAGCAGCTGAACGGAAGAAAATAGTTATAGAATAAAGACTATTTTCCTCAAGAAAAATATCCATCATTGGACATCTAAAGTTGTGATTTATTAAAAAGCCTTGCAAGAAAAAAAACGTTTAAAATGGGTCTTCACACACGGCGGCAGGCCACGTGGTCTTAAAACAGTGTTCCTGTGGGACTGTGACGTCCTCAACCGCTGCCGGTTTAAATAAACTGCTGTTTGTTTGTTCATCCGGTCTCTATGAGGCCGATTCTGCTCTCGAGTCATAACTGTAGATGTGGATGAGACAAAAAGGGAGATAAGGCAACGGAGGAGCTACAATACGGCACTCAAAGCTGCTGAGCACATGTGAGAGTCCCAGTGAGTCTTTGGAAGACACATGCTGCAGTAATGACACAGAATGGAGCCACTGTTGGATTGGATTTTTTTTTATTCCTATTGTAGAAAAATGCACATCAAAAGACAATACCATACAAAATAGAAAAAGTGCACACAGTATTCACAAGTTGAAACGTTTAAACACAATAAGGGCTTTACAATACTGCTTTGGCCTTTCAAAAAAACACAGACTAAAGTGCAAGATTTTCCATTCCAATTCTCATTTAAGTACATTCACAGGTTTGTTTTGTCTTTTTCCACAGACGTCTTGTTCACAGGATTACAAAAAAAAAAAAAAAATCTCATCCCAACTCGTATTGTAGTAAAGTGCATATAAACGATGCGCGAGGGACACATTTTCGGATCCTCATCTCCGGATCCTCTTTGTGTTTGTACGTTCACTGCCGACTGTAAGCCAATCGTCACCCGTCACAGCGGGATTCGTCTTTTCCCCCCAAACAAACACACACATGCACGCACGCACAAAAAGAGCCCCGGGCCTCTATTCAGACCTCACTCGGTGATCTGGACCGGTAGGCCTTGTTGGCCTGAAAGCAGCCACAGAGCAGCACGTACAGGGAGCGCTGGATCTCTGCGTTTCTGTAGGCGTAGATGATGGGGTTAATCATGGAGTTGTAGGTGGCCGGCAGCAGCGTGGCGTAGGTGTACACCGACGGATACTCCCTCTCGCCTACCAGGCAGTAGATGGCGAAGGGCAGCCAGCTGGCGCCAAACGTCCCCAGGATGATGGCCAGCGTGGAGACGCCCTTCTTGGTGGCGACGTAGTGCGACGTGGCGAAAAAGTGCTGCTGCAGGGCGATCTGGTGGGCGTGGCGGCACACGATCTTGCAGATCTTGAAGTAGAGGCTCAGCATGAGCACAAAGATGACGAAGAAGGAGACGGCCAGCAGCGTGAGGTTGCTCCGGGTCAAAGGGCGAACGATGCTGCAGGAGGCCGCGTCGTCCAGGCAGTTCCAGCCCAGCACCGGCAGCAAGCCCAGAAACAGGGACACCCCCCAGGTGCCCAGTAGCATCAGGTGCACGTACTGCAGCGTCTTCTCCGAGAAGTAGGTCAGGGCATTGTAGAGGGAGAAATACCGGTCCACCGTTATGGCCAAAAGGCTGCTGATGGACGCAGTGAAGGAGGCCACCAGGAAGCCCACGGTGATGAGGCTGATGGTCTCGGAGGAGATGACGTACTGGAACACGAAGTTGAGGATTAATCCCATGCCGGCCAGCAGGTCGGCCGTGGCCAGGCTCCCGATCAGCACGAACATGGGAGTCCTCAGCGTCGGCGTGTAGAAGATGATCGCCACCACTATGGCGTTTTCACAGGCGATGACCGTGCCCGACATGCACAGCATAATGTCCCACGGGTTGATGGGGAGGTCCAACGGGGCGGTGGAGAACTCCAGACTGCCGTTGCGCTCCGCGGAACCGCTCTCCATCCACGGGAGAGGTTCTCCGGCCACGGGAGCCAGAAAGGAGTCGTTCGCCACCCGCGACTCGTTCATCGTCTCCAGGTTGTCGTCTTCTCGTCCTGTGAGCAAGCAGGCGGGTTTGTTAACGTCGATCATTTTCCATCACCGAGAGTATTTTACGCTCAAACTACAGACATTTGTAGAACATCGTCGTATCATGCAAAAGGTTACAAGAACAACCTAAAACATTAGTTTCAGCTCACTTCCAAATTCGTCAACAGGAGTTGGCCAGCATGGCCATTTGAGGATTTGAGGCTGCTCTATTGTGACTAAACCGTGAAATAAGCCAATCGCACTAGTTTAGAAAGCCCTGCATCCACAAAACACTCCGTACACAACAGCTGCCGCCAAGGCTGAGCTTAAACTCTAGTTTTAGGGTGGACGCTCCCTTCTTTTGGTCGCGGGGAAGCAGAATGAGTTGATGAGCTCTCCGTGGTGCTGAAATCTCTCCGCAGGAAACTACACAGACAAACAAACCCATGCGTGTTAAACATCGAGTTTATACACGATAAGACCCGCTCAACAACACTGCAACGCATTTTTTGGAATACACAATGAAATGCTCTGCGTCCCGGTGGATTCCTGCCTCCAAAGACCACCGCACTGGTGTCAATAAACATGTCGGAGAAGTTCAAAACACGTACTTCCGTATCGAAACGTTGCGAGTCTCTCCGGTCCGACGGGAAGCTGTAAGAGATTCAAAGTGAAACGAGGATGGGGGGGTGGAGGGGGGAGGCGGGTTGGGGTGGGATGGGGGGTGGGGGGTGTTCCAAACCCTTGTTGTCGGTCCTTTGCACGCCCTCAGGTGAAGCCCTTGATTTTGTTGTGCTTCCCACGCATGGGACAGACTCCCAGGGAAGAGCTGCCGTGGAGCATTGGCCGGTGCTCAGCTCGGGGGGCGGGGGGGGGAGAGAGGTGCGTGTGATGCGGGAGGATCGACCGGAGTCGCAGAGGAGCGCTTAAATGCACCTTACTCCTCCCCCTCCAAGTCCCCCCCCCCCCCCCCCACAGAGCCTCATGCATTTATTCAGCCCTTTTTTTCTCCTTCTCTTATCAAAACCCTTACAAACAAATACATTCTGATCCGAAAACCAGAGTACAAAAGTTTGCATTGGAACTGGAATTAACAAAGATATTTGTGATAACAGGTTGGACCCCCCCGCCCACACTTTTGCCCTTAATACTTTGCGGCATACTTTCAACAAGGTGACTTTGGTCCATATTGCCATGATAGCATCACGCAGCGCATCCATGATGCCAACCTCCTGTTGAATCTCCCCACGGTCCACAACGATACTCATTTAAAGATGCTCAATTGGCACTAAGGGGCCCAAAGTGTGCCAAGGAAATATCCCCCATTACACTATTGTCCAATTGTAGTCTCAGTTTTCTCTCCTTACCTGGCAGGAGCGGCAGCCGCTGTGGTCTTCTGCTGCTGTGGCTTCGTCAAGGTCCCACGTGTGGTGCCTTCAGAGATGGTCTCCTGCATTCCTTGGTCGTAACGAGCGGTTAGTCAATATACAAAATCATTGAGTGTGATGAACCGCAACTCAATCATTTGTGTTAACAAGATATTGAACAGGTGTACCTAATAAAGTGGCCGGTGAGTGTACACACACACACACACACACACACAATATAATAGAATAATTTAACCATTATTTCTCAAATTGTTGCATCAGAAAAAACTGTATCCAAGTCAAATAATAAATTACACAAACATGGATGATGTATTGAAGGACAGGTTGAGGTGGTGGCGGTGGGGAGGGGGGGAGGGATTCAAAGCATCAGGGCAAAATGGTAACTAGTTTTAGTTTCTAGGCAACCGCTGTTTGGCCACCTTTTGTCATTAGAGAGGGTTTGTCTTCATTCGTAAGCTGAGCGGTGACATGAAGCGCCAAGTAACTCATGTCAGACACCGGGCTACAAACACAACCAGACCAGACGAAAAAAATGGATCCCAGAATAACGGTTTTATAGGACAGACCAATCCAAACAAATTGAATTTCAGCCATTAGAGTGGCACTGCATCACCGGATCCCCCCCCACCACTCCCCCCGCCACACACACACACACACACACACACACACACAGTTATTTTTGTGAGGACTACAAAGAACGAGCTGCCCCCAAAAATATCAGTGACGAGATGCATTTATTCATGTGTGCTGAGAGGTTTCAATGTAATGAGACACCTGCCATTATAAACATAAAAACATGAGAAAAACACGGCCTTGCATAAAAGACCTCTTTCCCTTCAAAACAGCCTCCAACCGCCTACAGTCGGAAATAGGCCGGTTGGAAAACGGGAGACGAAATGCATCAGACAGCTGAGCCGACACATGGCAGGAACAGGTTTACTGCAGAGACATAACACCTCAGTTAATTTAGTTTAACACTTCCCACAGGAGAAAACTTTGTGTTCACTCAGGGACATTTTAAAACACACATGATCGCTCCACGAAAACAAAATGTTTCCCTAGAGGCACAACAACATAATTGGATATGTTGACCGACTGTACCTGCTCCTCGGCAGATGTCGTCTCCACCAGGGCTTCATGCCGGCTGATCTATGATCATCTCTCTGTGATGGCTTTAAACATCGTGATGAAATGAAACACTCGTAAAATAAAACAAAAAGTTATACTGGTGTTTGAAACCTTTTAGCGAATATTGTGATCAAGTGTGAGTGTGATTTAGAAAAAGCACAAAAGCCAACTTAATATTCCTCTCATCTAGTAAAAACAAACAAAGTAGAAAGATAGAAACCTCTTGATTCAGCGAAGAAGCTTCCAGGAGAAAAAAAGGGGGACTGAAGGACACAGATTGAAGTCCAGGTTTTATTTTAGGTGTGTGTCGTGCAATCACAACACTTCATCAGAAGTGAGGAGTAAGTGTGACAGACAGAATAAAAGTGAAAAGGCTGAATCAGGTGTGAAAAATGAATTAGGAAGAAATGATAGGACAGTTGGAGGGAGTGAAGAATGAAATGTTGTGACAATACGCGCTGTAAAAGTAGAGTAAAGCATTTTTAAAGCACTGTGCTCATAAATACAAGTTTGGTAGTAATCAGCTGTGATGCGTTTGGGCATCTCAACCCAAAATGTTGAGGTATCAGTGATGACCTTTATCTGACGACAAAAATAACAACATTATCTGTATATATATATATATATATATATATATATATATTATTTTGTGAGCAGCTTAGTGAATGCTCTGAATCCTGTTTAAAGCATATTTAATATTCAAAATAAATAATTATTTCAACTACAATACATGCAATTTAATTAAATAAACTTTATTAAAACAGTTTTAAACAGCGATTAAAATTGAAATAAATACAAAAAAAGCACCACAGAGGTAGCCTGCTAACGCACGTGGGAGTGAATGGACAAACTCACGTACCTGGATAAGATTTAAATCAAAGGGCTGATTAAAAAGAAAAAATCGACCTGGTCCAAACACAGGACACATCGGGTGGCACATGCGACATTATCTGCAAGCAACGCAAGAAAAACTGTCCGTCGCTCTGTCCTGCAGCTCAACACGAAGTCACGTCAGAGTGACTGGTTCTGCCCATCGGTGACGAGACATCCGGTCGGTATCGTCTGCGTCTTACATGTATCGGTTCTTGACGTACTCCCTGTACATCAACATGTCCTCCCTGCAGAGCGCCCGCACCTGCCCCCGGCCAGTCAGCACGCTGCTCTCAAACTCCTCTCGGCTGTCCCGGTCGACCTGCGGCGGAGAAAGGCTGTAGATGCTGTCCTCCGGGAAGCAGGACACCGGCTCTCTGAGGGACAGGGGACAGGGCAAAGGAGGCGGAGGCGCGTTCGATTAATGTCACCGGGTGATGAAAAGCGAGGGGTGTTTTAACCCAACATCTAATCCATTGGGAGCAAACACTGACTTTCCGCCTTTTTTACCATATTTTCAGGGTTTCTCCGTGCAAAATCATGTTGTAGCACTCTTAAGAAATCACTGAGTAGCAAATGCCAGAATATAGCCCAAAGTTAAAAAAGGGGGGTTTAGGGAGCATGAACAAAAGTCGCACTATTCAATTAGTCTTTACTGTTAATTCTCCAATAAACCTAAAACATAAATTACATTTTTTTCTTTTTTATATCTTGCTTACTGCCAGGTTAGAAGATAAAAGCGGTTATACTCAGAATAAAGCTTATGCAAAGCGCACCTTTCACACAAATGAACAGAATGAAAGATTAATTGATCTTTGTCCCAATTGTGCGTGCATCCATCTATCCATCTCTGTGACTTAAAAGCTCATTTTAATTTGAGGAGGAAACAAATCAACACACCTCACTGATACCTCTCAGCGAGTATCCGCCATATCATGACGTATCCTTTTCCGCTTTTCCCTCCAGCGATTGAATCAGCTTGTCTCATGCCTGATCGGTCAACAAAATGAACTACACGGAGGGAAGACTCGGACTAAAGGACTCCTGACGGTGAAAACATATGTGAGGTGCCTTAAAATAACGCCGTTGCATAACAGCTGACGTACCTGCCGGACCTCGTGGACCGGACACGAGGACGACAGGGCCGGTGTGGATGGACTCACCATTGGACGGGGACGAAAGGGGAAAATACAGGCGGGTTTGAGGAGGGGCGCCAATCGAGGAAAGATGAAAAGACATTTTTATTTCAAGCGCACTGAAGCCACTAACTGCTTTTGTCCGCTGCACCAAATAAATTCTGACAAATAGAAATGCACCTGTGCTGCACAATGCATTTCCTTTGAGGAAACAAGGCATTTCAGCTGGTGAGGGAAAGACCGCTGGGACATCCACGTCCATGGAGCATGAAAATGCCTCCAACCTCTAAATGCTCTCGTGCCACTGAGCTCGCTTTCAAAAGCTTTCAGTTTTTTAAATTTATTTTTTAAGTATGGAATTTGAAGACCAGTGCGCTTTTTACAGGACAAACTATTCTTGCCAGAGCCTCATATTTAGCATACAGACATTAGAGTGGTCTTAACTGTCAACAGGAAAATCGATTTCCCAGAAAGCTGAAAAATGCACGTTATTATTTTCAAATCGGTGACAACTTTGAATCTCAAGTAAAAACATTGTGCCTTTGTGTGATTGTGCATAAAATATATAAACGAAAACAAGAATATGCATGTGAGCATTAATGAGATGATGAGAATAATGAACAGAGGAAGCTTAGTCTTAGTCTTTTATCTTCTCTCTGATAAAACGCTACAGCCTGCAGCAGCCCAAGCGGACACGTCCAGTGTCTGTGAGCAAAAGGAGAATACGCATCGAGATGACTCACGGCGAGACATTTTGCCATCGAGACGCTGTCCGTGAACGTGTGAGTGACCGCTGGCGCTGCAAAGAAACGGAACCAGACAGAGAAAGAGAAGCTGCAAGTGCGTCTGTACGGCTGCACATTGTCATCCCACGCGTGTGTGTGTGCGTGTGTGGTTCTGGCTGAGTAAAAAAAATAAGCCCCCCCGCCGGGGCGACGGCCGCAGCCATCAGAAAGGCAGCAGGGGGTGAGCTGACCGACCGGGAAATACGAGCGACGGCGAGAAGTGAAGAAAGAGGTTATTACGGATGAAGATTAAACAGCGCGCAGTCAGAGGATTTCTTGGAGACGTCCGCTCGGCGAGGGCGACTGGGTTCAAGTGTGACCTCTCGCTCCTGCAGAGCGCTACGTCCTCTGGCTGCCGGTTCCATGTCCTGCAGCGGTTCGTGTTTGGAGACACCCGGAAGCTGCTCTCTGCCATGTTTGTTTACATTCTGTGAATCATTTTAGCAAAAGATATCGCTCTTCTCCGCAATCACGACATCTGGATTCCTCTTCAGCTGCGCCTCCTGCGGTGTCTTGTGTCCTTCTTCCAATTTGTTTGTAGAGTTTGCATTATCCAGAGCGAGTTGACAAAGACAGATTCTAACTACTCATGTTGCCACCTAGTGCTTAAAATCCCACCTGTGTGACGATCATCGAGTACTTATGGGCTGAAATCGTTTATTATTTCACTGTGTTTGGGTTTATTTGTCACATGTTTTACTCACAGGCAGATGATGTTTGCCAGGTTTATGTGTTCGGTTCTTTCCACCCGGTGCTGGCTCTCTCCCAGATGTGCAAACCTACAGGAAAAAAAAAGAAAGACGGATAGAAAATAAATATCCCTGCAAAATTGACAAAAATCAACTGTTTATTTTGATCCCTGGCATTGGCTATTTTATTGCATGTCCCTCCCCTCTCCTTCTAGCGCTCCATCTCCCTCCCTCCCCTATTTCTGGTCAAATTACTGCAAAAATGTCATCGAAACTAATTGATTATCGATTATTATTACCTATTTTATAAACGAGCGCGACGTATCTCCAATTTCACCTTCGGATGTTTTTCTTTTGCAAAGATACAATAACATGCAGCCGTTGAGAGTTGCCTCCTGGCGCTTGCTCGTGCTTATTTAATATTAATACACTGATTAGCAAAGCTTTGGCTGCAAGCTGACGTCTTTGGAGCAATTTCAACTCCCACCCTCAATAATGAATGCAGTTTCATTGTCATTATGTGCCAGTACAGCAGGAGGATATGAACAACATTCTTCACAATAATATGAATACAAAAAAAAAAAGAGTCTGCCCCTTTGCATCATGATCGTCTGTGGAACAACTGGCATTGGTTTTCTTCGTCAGCACAGTACATTTAATCTGTATATGAATGATGAAAAACCCTCCAAAAGGAGGTCTCAGAGCAAGTTTGAGGGGTCATAACATAATTAAATGGATACAAAAAATAAGCACCAATAAATAGCGGTTGATTTTAAGGGGGTCTGAGCTTTGTATTGCATTTTATTAATGTACAAGTTCATGTATTTTCTAAAATGTTTTTTATTTTTTTAAAGAAAGGACCATACATTATGCTTAAATAACACATTTTTACAGGCAGGAAGCTTCGGCTGGCTCCTTCAAATGCACATTTTATCCAACGTGCAGTTCATTTTCAGACTATCTCATCAACTAGGTTGCAGGTAGCAGGCAGGGAGAAAGGACAAAAAGAAACAAAAAATGAAATAGATAGGAGGGGGCAAAGGTATAGAAAAGGCAGTGAGGTCAGAAGTGTGATGCACACAGCAGGGCAGAGTTGACAATGTCCCTTTTGCAAAATGACAGATATCACCCCCGAGGGGGCTGCTGACACTTACGGTTCGTCTCCGTCTAGGGGACTGGGTGCATTGTCCGTAACAATAAAAAAGAAAGCGTGTTTAATGGCCGACGTCAAAAAAAAAGGCTGCAGTTTGCTTCGACGTGACACCAAAAAAAGAAAAAAATTCTCTGAACACAGTATTCTGAGAGCTGAATGCAAAACCATCAAACAAAAGCCAGCTGAAGTTTGTTGCTACCAAGCACGAAAACAATGTTAGTAGTGTTCGTGCACATGACGCATTAAGTGTAATTCTTAAACAGTGCATGTGTGTGATTACCTTTCATAAATGAGCAGGTCTTTCGCAGCAGGAAACTCAGCCAGATTGAGTCCGTAGGGCTCTTTTACCGACTGCTGCTGGATCTCCTGAGGGGGCGAGCGAGGAAAGGTAAGACACCGCAGTACGTGAGTCTACGTGCAAGACACAAGAACACAAACGGGATATAACGGAAGCTTCACCGCGGAAGTTCGGAAAGCTCGCCGACAACCTGCACCTTCAAACCGCAAAACAAGTAGCTGCAGCCCAAAGTATAAAATTCATATACGAGGTCGTCGGGTTCAGACGCTTCGGTCCAATCGATTCACCCCGGAGTGTAATTTAGGAAACTAAGAAAGTAATTGGATTGCCCCCGTCTGACGAGTTGGGTTGATGTTTGGAGACGGTGCCCTCTTGGGGGGTCTTGCAGAGAGTGTCCGATGATTAGAGAGACAATAACCATAGGAAACGAGATCATCCGTTTATAAAGGGTCAGACCAGTCCGAGCGGATTCTAAAGGGGATTGATGTGCGACAGGTGTGATCACAACTCTTTTAGGCATTAGCAAATCAGGACTATACAGGGGGGAAAAAGACAATAAAATCACAACCGAGTGCCGTGGATCAGGTGAGCATAATGTGTGCAATTAAACAAAAAGATTTATTACTTAAATTATGAGAAAATTAGATAAAGCTATTATCATTAGTTTTATTACAGTACTACGAAAGTAAAAAGAAAGGTGTCTCTCTTAGTCAGGACGTGCTGTGAGTCATCTAACGCTTTTCCTTATCTTAGTAAACAAAGAACATTAAGGCCAATAAATAAAACATTTTATTCCTTCATTTTATAAAAAGGTTTAGAATACGTAATTTAAAAAGGAGCATGTTAATGACCACTACACTGCTGGGATCCATTCAGCCTCTCCATCCAGCGAGGCCAGAACACATCACAACAAAAGAAGAGTGAGGCGGATCACATTTGCATCCAGAACAATACGTTGAGGCCAAAGTGGACACCAGACAACAGAGAGGGAGAAGTACGGTGTGATTGAGCTCAGTTTCTGTGTTGCATGCAAACAGCATGGATGCATCCTGCCTTGTGGTGCAAGACGGGAGGGGCCGTGTCGCGTTGTAGTTGTGCGTTTTCTTGGCAGACATCCGGCCCTTTTATAACAACTGATTATGATCCGACTTCTGCAATGTAAACCACGTAATAGTCCTTTATGGATATGTAATCCAAAAATGTGGAACTTGGTGTACAATATACTCATTTCTAATCATGACATGTGGGGAAAGTCTGACTGACTAATACATAGAATTCACCCTCCATGGTTTATTAGAACTTGGTTATAAAATGTGATATTATGGTAAGAGGTAATTAAGTGTTGCCATGTAATATTAGCTTTCAAATAAGATCAAAAAGGGGACAAAACTAAGGGTATTAAAAAGGGTCACTGATATAGTTGTACTTAAAATAGCCATATGGGTCAAAACCTGCTATTAAGTACATATTATAGGTATATTATATGCTTACATTAAATGATGGACTATATTCATCATTATATCTTCAAATCACATGAACATTTTTGAAAATCAGGAGGTAAATATTATGAAATCATAACGGTGAAACTCATCCTCGCTGATGTTCAAAGTAATAGTGTACAAATGACATGTTCAATGTCGTGACCTGCTGAACTAACGCATTCTATTGGATTCCTCGATAAAATGAAACAAAAAAAATCAAGTCATAATGATTACCGGGAAAGCCTTGTGATAGAAAAGGGATTTTAAAATTTTAAGTGCAAACCAATTGTCAAGGATCAATTTACCACGATGGTGGAAATGCTGCTCTGCACTCTTGGTCCCAAGACGGACGGACGTAGAAGGAAAGCGGAACCGGCCTCAGTGAGACGAGACCGCCATGAACGAGAAAACATTGATTTTTTCAGACTTGATGTACGTCTCAATTGTAAACCTCGATTCACTAAATCCCCGAAAAAGAGCCACTTCCTCGTCTTGAAAAAGGATGTGAATGCAATGCTGGCATAAAGCAATAAAGCAGGGATTTTTAGCCATAGACTCTTAAAATAACATTTACAATAAAGTTATGATATTTTATGAAAGAACAAAGGTCCAAGAAACAGCAACTGTGAATCCACACAGGGACAGAGACACACACACACACACGCTGTGAATCTGTTCATGCAAGCACACGTATGTTGAGGGGGACTTGAAATGAGCACGTGTCATTACATGGGAGTAGTAATGATCTGCGGTTTAAATATTTCAACAGAGGCAAATGCGTGAGAGCGGAGCGTGTGCGTCCAACACGTGAGCGAGCTCTCCGTGTGTCAAAATATTCATGACCGGCTGCCGGCTCGAAGCCCCGACGAGGCGGGACTGGTGGAGAAAGGGAGGGGAAGCCTCAAGATCAAAACGTGTCCTCTGGGATTCTATGTGGATAAATCCCATTTGCTTGAAAAGTATGACAACATCCCAGTAGTTGCTATTTTCCTTTAAAATCCACCTTGTGGTCAATGGCGGCTGACATGAAGATGGGAATCGAGAAACAGTCCCCAATTATAACCTGAGAAAAATCTCAATGAATGTTGAAAGGACATGAATCAAACTTAAAATCCCACAAAAACCCAGATGACACGGAGAAGGCAGATTTTTTACGGATCATTAACAAAAGAACATTGTGGGCCGGAGGCAGTGACCTCAAGAAAACATTTGCTCAACAGCTGACCTCTTTTTAGAGGCGCCCCGAAATAACCACCGAAAGCAGCAGAGGTGTCAAGTAACAAAGTACAAATACCTTGTTACTGTACTTAAGTAGAGATTTTGGGTATCTATACTTTACTGGAGTATTTCTTTTTCAGACTACTTTTTTACTACTTACATTTCCACGTAAATATCTGTACTTTCTACTCTTTACATTTTAAAAACAGTCTCGTTACTTCCGGTTTCTCCAGATAAATAGCGCTACCCGGACAGAGTGAATGTGATTGTGTTTGGATGAGAAGTATAAACATTTAGCATCCAGACACCCGATTGGTTTTCTCCGCGATGCGCCGGCAGATCGGAGCGACACCGGGTGGGAAAAGTGGTCGGTGGAAAGTTGGTATTTATCGACATGGAGCCTCGTCCTCTTCCTCCTCCTCTTCCTCATGCAGAGTCCACGTAACGTTAGATGAGTATCTTCGTGACTGTGGGTTTGTCCTAAATGTTTTATTGAGTCTGGCACAACACAGCGACTTGCAAGCAGCGTATTAAATAAAGTGATGTGTGTCCTAATGCGGCTTTGCAAATGAACACAAAGGGATTCTGTATTTGCTCATGAAGCCTGAACACACTGGTTATTTGGCCAATGTTTTGATAAGCGACCGCTGCCAGTTCAGTGTTTTCCATCATTATAAACAGGGGTGCGCCCCCCATGACGTAGTGAACCTGGGGGAGACACTGCAGTCTACCTAATCGATGCGAACAACGTGTGTGTGACTCGTGTCACTGGTAAATGGGTTGTGGTTTTATCTGTTTAAGTCAGATACATATGTTGTGTTGTTGTGTCTCTGAATGTCGCCATGTTTCCATCATCCCAACGGCAGGTCACGTGATCTGCAGGCACCTTCTGATCACATTGTAACGGACTGACGTGTTGTGTGAGCGAGGTTACACATTAAGAGTTTGTCCTTAAACGAATTTCTTGGATTACTTTTACACTTTAAGTAGTTTTGAAACCAGTACTTTTACTTAAGTAAAGAGCTTGAGTCGATAAAGTCTTTTTAAACCCTAGTATCTGTACTTCTACTTGAGTAATGAATGTTAAATACTTTTGACACCTCTGGAAAGCAGACTAAGACCATCACAACACAGGGACACATACCCCCTGGTGTCCTAAAAGCAGACAGGATCCCAAGGCACGAGTCCTACGTAGACTTCTTAACGACACCTCGGCCTTCGAGGAGGAAGCCAGAGAAGAGCCGACCGCGTTTGCCACGTACGTAACACAAGGGACCAACCAGAGAGGAGCGGTGTTCCTTTAGCGTTTCCTGACGTAATAGTGATTATGCTGCATGAAAATCTGCATTCGTATCCGGGTACTTTCCTAAAGAGTACCTCCTGCACAGACTAGTCATAAAAAAAAAATCAAAATGATTGAGAACACAAATCACAAATTTCCATATTACCACACTAAACATAAATTACATTGATAAAAATACTTATTTTTTGTATTTTACTACACAAAGCAACACCCAACGAAGTGGCTTCATTTACTTTTGTTCACTTTGATTCCTGTAAATAAAAGCTGGTTTGCCATTTTACGTCTGAGTCGGAACCAGCAGTTGACAACATGAGGCTGATACCGATGCAACAGTGTTTTTGTACATTGTTTTTTAAGGCAGCAGTGTTGTTTCTTAACAGATATGTGCACAGTGCTGTATGAGTGAAGGGAAGGGTCCACTGTGCAACGAGATGGAGAGAGAAAAAAAAAAAAAAGAGGAGTAATACTGTAATTCCCACAACTCTCTTGTACTCTCCCTAAAACGATGATGAACACAAACGCGCGCCATCTACACCCCCTCGAACTCCAGTCAAACACAAACACAGAACATTCTCTTTGAGGACTTTGAGGAAGTGGGAGGGGCGTGACACACTTGCACGCTCCCAGCTTTCCTCCCTATTAAACCATTTTGATTTAGTTTTGCTTGTTTTCTCAGCTCAAAGCGAATTGATTCTAATCAAACCGTAAAAAAACGCTGTTGGGACAGTGAACGTGTTTCTCTGATGTGAACAGACGTCGGCCTCCTACATGCTTTGTGTTTTCGTACCTCCTGTGTCCGGGTGCTCTCTCCAGACTCCGTTAGCAGTTTGATTGGGGTGGAGCGTTGGGACACGGAGGCGTCATCGTCGCGGTCGTCCTCCGAGTCGTCCTCCGACGTGCTGCTGATGGCCTCTTCGCTCGGGGGAGGAGGCGCGCTGGCTGCAGTCTTCCTCTGGAGCAGCGTCTCCTCCTTGCTGCTCTTGCTGCTGAAAAATATCATTTTTCTTTTTTTTTCACGTGCCGAGTTTACAGGAACCGTCAGGGTCAGTGGGATGTAGTGACTGTAAATAGTCTGCTCGAACGAGACTAAAACAACAAAGCCCGCGAGATGAATATGTCACATAAATGGTGAAAAAGCCGGATTCACAGGCTGTGATTATGCTCCTCATGCTGAATAGGATAGTTGAGAAATGCTGAATTATTTTGAAAGAAATGTACAACAGCAGTGCAAATAAATGATGGTAAACATATAGTTAAGCATCTTCATAAACCAACCTTGTTCTTACCAACTTAAACTGTTGTATATTTATACTATGTGACTGTTACTGTTATTGTGATACTGTGGACCCTAAAAAGATGAGTGACCGCTTTGTGGAAGCGAACAGAGATCCAAATAGAGGAAAACACCAGAGCGGTGCAAAACATTGGAGGGGTCAGGTGTAGTGTAGTTGTGTTCACGCTGTCCTACAATGTTGTGGAGACTATTATCAGTCATGAGCACATGATGTTTTTATTTTGACATAGTACCCCTGTGTGTGGAGGGGGGGGGATGATTTTAAAAACGTACGCACACGGATGCAGTTTATCAAAGGCAAATTAAACACTGTGTGTTCTGAACAAAGATAGGAAAAAGGGAGATGGCCTTGTTTTTGGTAACATGAGAACACGGTGTCAGAATAAGCCGTGTGTGTGTGTGTGTGTGTGTGTGCGTTTGTGTTTCAGGACTCGGTGACATTGAATTTGTTTTATGAAAAAAAAAAAAAAACATAACAAACGTGGACCTGTACGTAACCTGAGATTCACTCACCCCAGCACTGACTTCCCCGTTTCCTCAGGCTTGCGGACTGTGAATGGGCTTGGATCCACTCCAACTGTCTTGGGCATAAATTCCCTTTATGAGCACAAATAAGAAGGGGGCACATTAGCTGGCCGCCTGCAGCAACATCAGCAGGGAATTAACATTTTGTAGCCCATAAAATGTGATACAATAATCAACAAACATTTCACCAATGTTGACCAATGAATTCAGAGCATTATTATATTGATTGTGTACGTTTCGGTGTGTTCACCTGGCAGAGTTGGTCATGGCGATGCAGAAGGTGTCGTCGAAGGAGGTAAGCTCGTACGGTTTGAAGAACTCGGTGTAGATGTCGATGCTCTCCTCAAAGCGGTTTGCTCTCCTCACTTTGACCTTCTTCATGGTGTCCTCGCAGGAGACTGGAGAGCAAACACACCGACCGGAGAGCAAACACACCGACACTCAAGCTTTAATCACACCAATGCTACAAATTGATCCAACCAACTGGGGAGCTAAGGCCTGACGTTTCCTCTGTAAAAACAACGATGTATTGTCCCGTCAAAGATTATGGATATTGAAGACATTACTGCATATATCATACCTTCATCATAGGGCACTGGGAGGTAGGACAAGACTCCTGCTGACCACCACATTGTGTAACTGGAGACAGACAAGAGACCCAAATATTCAAAACGTCAAGGTGGGCAATAGATCCGTATTATAAATGGTAAAATAATGAGACAAGCCATCGCCTTGATTCATGATATTACTGTTGACATTTCCTGGTTGGTGGAGTTGTTAAATCCACATTACTGAGGAGTATTTTATTGGTTGTGAAAGCACCAATGGTCATGCCTACTACAAAATATGAAAGATTTGTGTTAATCCCGTTGGCGCATACAAGGTCCGGCAATTATTTCAAATTTTAAAATAAATTGAGCCCTGAGAGGGCAATGGGCTGCATTCTAGGAAAAACTTACATTTTTCAAGAAATAAATACGTTGGACGCATTCATCTTGATAACACATCCGGCTGTGGCTGTGAGCCGGTAAGCAGACCTTCGGAGTGCCATACAGAATTACACCTCAAGGCCATAACTGGTTACGGAAGTCCCAATTTAATACCGATGCCGAAATGACCTCCAACAAGCAAACAAGCCCATCAGCGAGGAAATTATTTCTACTGTATGCTGTTATTTTTGGTGTCAGACTCCGTAAATTACATTTTCACAAGCAAAAGTATTATGTCGGCCAGTTAAAAAGGAAACAAGTGGTTTATGTCCCAAGTCGCTTACGGGAAAACCTCTTATGTCCACACAAAAGGAAAGGAACTGGAAGCTGCTTTTTAAACTCTCAACCGCAGTTTATGTATTCAGACGCAAGCACGTGTGTGTGTGTGTGTGTGTGTATTGGGAAGTGCACAAGTGTTCTACCTGCGTCTGTCTAGGGGGAGCGCCATGGTGTTCCTCTGATGCAGGTAGAAGTCTGTGGGAAGCTCCCACAGGTGCGGCCTGGACTCCGATGGCTGGTAGACTTGAAGAAACAAGTTGATGGCGTCCTGTCGGTCAGCATCTAACAACGACAACAACATGAGGGTTTAATATCTACTAAATATTCTAGTGAGAGTCTATAGGGCTAAAATTAGATGAGGAAAATTGCATCATTCAAATCATGTACATGTCATATATGTCACTTGAAAGCTATTGGAAATTGGCTAGGAAACACAGTTTTTATTTGAATACTAAACCAATACCGCGGCTTAGTAATGATGTTTTTGTTCTTACCTACAGGGGAACTAATACAGTGCATATACTGATCTTAAACCGCATTGTTTGTTTTTTAATTTTTGGTAAACCTATCGAACTGTCACACGTTTAAATGTCCCTCAGAACACACTTCACTTGTCCTTCATATTTGTAAGAAAAGAGCAGAGACTCTTCTCAGAGCCAATGAATTAAATATAATTGAAGCCAAACTCACTCAAGCACAAGTCCTCCACCACAACACGCCTGGCTCTGTAAGTGTTTTGCATGTTGCCCAGTTTGGTGTCATTTAATGCCTCCCCCAACTGTGAAGTTGTGTGCATGCGATTCCAAGCCTTGCAGCCATTTGAAACTAAAGTGGTTTCCATTAAAAACCTGCTGCCGAGCATTTCTGCTTTTCAATTTTCAGCCTGAGATGCATGCAACACATGTAGAAGCTACGGATGCGCTGTGCACGCGTGAAACAGAAGTAATTAGTAAAGCCACGCGATGTATTGATGAAATGCAAATCTGTCAGGTCTCTTTAATCAGCACACATAGCCTACCCGCAACTGCTCTCTTTCGATTTAAGGCTGCAAAGCAAATGGCAGCATGTTCTGTATGTCCGCTGTGAGTCAGAGAGAAGCTGTCAGCGTGCTCTGCAGAGATGTCAAAGCACGCGTCATCCGCTGCAAACGCAGTGACGATTGGTGTGAATGTTCCGAGAAGCATCACAAAAACGCATTTCCCAACATCTCCGTGATATTTTGAAATGTGCTTCACACTTGGTGTGAAAGGCATCGGCGATCACGGTGATAGTCAATTAGAGCAGAAGTCCTGGCCAATGAACAACCAACATCGAGTGAACGTGCGCGCAAGAAATTTGAATCTCAAAAAGGGAACTTCAGAACGTGAACGCTTCAGATTTCTGTCGACATTTCTTGCCTTTCTATATTCTACTTTGGTTCTTGGCAGAAGGTGCAGAGGCATAACTCAGCAACAGGGCAGCAGTCATCCTGGTGAAGGACTTCAAATGACGAGACTTGATATATGTCATGCTGTTACAGAGTGTGCAGTTGGTAGAATATGGCTACTTGCGTATTATAGTATGTGTGTGTGTGTGTGTGTGAACTGCATTATTTAAGCCACTTGACATTTCATTCTGAATAAACATTCTGCGACATTCCCAGCAGCCACTTTTCAAAATTGAGAACGACAAGAATCGAAAACGAAGGCACAGACAGGAGGTCGACTCAGTAAGTCAAGCAGCACCGCTCTATTACCCCTGACGTAAAGTGAGGCACTTCTATTTAAACCTGGACCCTGACATCCCATGTTTTTAAGTCCAACTTACAAATATGGACGATTATTTCTCAAATTGGGTCAGTATTGAACAAAAGCCTTATATAAAAGGCACTAAAATGGGTTTTTTTGTCACTTTTACAGCTGAGAATGTTATTTTAATATCATATAATCAGAACAAACAAGCTCTTTTAGTGAACGTAACATTGACGCTGGGCAATTACACTTACAGCTCGTTTCACAGCAGCCTTAAACCCTTTTCCCTCAATACAGGACCAATTTCCCGTTGTCCCCATTGACACCAAATAACAAGATTACCCTTTACACAAACTTCCTCCTAACTGGGGCTTCAGATGCCACCTGTCACTGGTGAGCTGTAAAAACACATTTTCAGAAGGTGCCATTTGAGAATATTACAAATTAAAATCACAGCAAAGCCGCTGTATCAAGTTGTGATTGGCAATTAGATAAAAGAGGGATGCAATCGAGAAATGAAATGTCCTAAAAATACCCCTATTGCAGTTGTTGACAACAATTGATGTTAAAAAACATCCTTGTTACCGGCACCCACAGTCCTCAGGGAACTACGCTGGATCGAACTGTGAGTCCTCAGCTGTTGTTGCTGAAATGTGTCCACATTTAGTCATTTTTAGACAGTGTGTTACATGACAGGTCGGTTGGAGAAATGGTTTGTAATTTGCAGCAACACAATATCCTTTTGGAAGATGTGGTGTTCAGGGTGTGTAAAGTGCTTCACGTTCGGTTACTTTTCCCCCATTTACACTGTTTTTTAAGGAAGCCGCAGACAATCAAAAGCAGAAAGGTGGGAGCTGCAATCACACTGAGTAGGTCTGTGTTGAGCTCTGAATGTGGTTGTACTGAAGGACACAGTACAGAACATACTGTCAAAGTGTCAAACTGAAATAGTCACGTGACACTGGCCAACAGGAAAAATCCCATGTTAGAGTTTCCATTAGTTAGTCTGAATTAGATTTGTTCAGGAAAATACTCCAAATGACTCAGACCAAGCAGTGCATTACGAGGAGCTCTTTCCTTCTAAATATATGACATTATCTATGGTCACATTGAACATGAAGGTTTGGGTTTTACAGGGTGCAGTGCAGTAGATTAGTAACCTGCACATAGAACCCCGTCATAATTAATTTTTGCATTTTTATCAGAAACGCACCTGAGAAAGCATTGCTGTAGTAGCGCGACAGCGTCTGCATGATGTCCTTTGAGTGTTGTGTCCAGGGAGCGATCTTGCGGTAGGTCTTGACCCGGTGGACCAGCTGGGAGCCGCCGTACTGCAGAGACAAAGTGTCTCCGTGGTCCTCGTACAGCTCCTCGAACAACCTGGTCCCCACACACACATGCCACATACGTTAATATGCTTTATATATTTTACTATATATTGTGCATCACACAGGGTTACAATACATGCTGCATTTAAAGGGGATCCTAATGAGTGAAAAATCGTAAAAAGAGTTCAGATATTTGAGATATACATATTTTTCTATTTTTCCCGTCGTCCTAAACACATTTACCAAAAGGTGTGTGAATAAAACGTATACACGCTTAAATACAGAGCTTACCTCACACAGTCGGTGTCGAACTGGAGTTTCGGCTTGTCAATCATTCCCAGTGCATAAAGCTGATAGGCCAGCGCACACTTTCCCACCATGAACTGGGCAGTGTTGGTCCGATCCAGACAGTCCACGCAGTTGGTCCGCAACACACCAGTCTATAAGAACAAAGACATGTGAAACTTACTGATGGCATTTCATTCTTCTCCAGGACTTTAATGTATGTAGTCACAATAAAGTGTTTTCAATAGCAAGCATACCTCCATGAACTTACCTTTAGTAAGTTGCGGCCATTACATTACAGTTAAAAGCTTCAATATGTTATAGAATGTCACTTTATTTTCATGAAAAAACTCATTGTGCAACTATAGTAGTTTTGCAGCCATAGCAATGAATGCGGAGATGCTTTTATACAAACACTACAAGATGCTTTGCCCTTGATCTCTCTCCTGAACTGATTAGTGGGTTTCTGTGGTTTTATTGTTACCTTACACAGCTCTATTAATAAATCTGATGATGATGAATGATTGGTCTTCATTATATAACAATATTATCTTGTACTTTCCTTCGTAAAAAAGCTGCAAGAGAGAAACACATTTGTAGTATTTGTATTTTAATTATTGACACAAATGTTTCAGCGAACATACCTGCACCCGTCCACTGGCTGTGATGTATCCACCTAAATCTCCCCACCTGACGAATGGACAAGAACACTTAAATCGACTTAAAGAATAAAATACTGCAACCATACAAAACCCATTAAAGTGCACAAAGCTGAAACCCTGTTATAACACTGTTATAATAGCCATTTAAGGGCTGAACATAATAGACTAGATACAAATAAATAAAACACAGTGAGCCCCATTAGGACCACAAGTACAGACACATTCCGCAGACAACTTGGGATAGACACAGAAGGAAATTGTTTTACAGTTCAAAAATCATGCAAATACCCACGATAAACCAGATAAAAAGCTATTCAACATGTTAATAAGTTACTTTTGGAGGTACTGGGAGTCCTGTTCTGTTACTTTTGGGCAGCCATGATGGCTCTTTTTCAACCTGCTTCTGAATGCTAAGCTGACTGACAACTGGCTGTAGTCTTAAATGTAGCATACAGATCGGGAGTGATATCAACCGTATCATCGGACTCTCGGCTGAAAGAGTTGGATACAGAACAAGGGCCATTTCCAGCCCTTGGTGTTGTCTGCGTTAGTTCTTTCTCCATGATTTAAGACGCTCTCATGCATCCCTTTCCTTTAACACTGCACTACAAAAAGAAGGCAAAGTGAAAATGATGGCGATGAAAGACCAATTTATGTTGTTTGCAGATGCTATTTTTAAACACACATCCTGTTTGAACAAAGCACTACATCTAGTCCCACGTGATGGTGTGTGTGTGTGTGTGTGTGTGTCTGTCTGTCTGTCTCAATGAAAAGCTCACCTGTCATCCGGTCTGATGGTGTGACAGTAGAAGTTGGAGCGATTACTGAAGAAACCTGTGCGTTTAACCACGTTCTCTGCGATCATACTCAGACGGTCCAGGACGTTGCACAACTTACTAGGGGAAAAGAAATAGAAATGTCATAATAATGTACCCCTGCAGCTTTAGCGGAATCACAGTGATAATATACAATAATATCTTTGTATTTTTAATTAATTCATTTCATTTCATTTCATTAATTTTACATGAAGCAAGTCCAGATTCTGGGGGTCGGTGTAGCTGCCCACATTGCTCTCATTTGACACCAGGGGGGGAAAATCAAAATGAACAATTCAATTCTGTCACTGACAGGAGGCGATAGCAACAATTTTGCAAAGGCCACAGAGGCAAATTAAATCATTTTGAGCATCTGTGGATTCCTAGAAATCCACAAGTCTAATTCAATACCAGAAAGTACATTACATTAGAAATACTGTTTTTATTTACATTCAGATGTAGTTTGTAGCACGTCAGTTAGCCACTTTGAGTTGCTCTTTGTTGCTGCAGCTTGTGGCAATGGTTTACTTGACCCCACCAGAACTTAGTGTTGTATACTGGATAGATCTAAGAAAACTAAAAGCTGGCATCTGTATGAACTGAAGAATTTGGAAGAAAAACGGTACGTTTTGGTGTACCTCTTGGTGTAGCGGGCCATGTCCCAGGCGAGGTATTCGATGCAGTTTTCTGGAGGGAGGAACTGATTTAGGTTGATCACAGCTGGGTAGAGCTCTTCACTCAGAATCCGCTCATGCTTCCTTTTCTCTCGTTTCTGAAGCACATAGATAAACATGTGAGAAAAATAGGAGTATCACAAGTACGACTACCTCCTCCATCCAAAGAGGTGGGACATTTGGTCCCTTGAGGACACCAGCAGACATAATCTGACACGTGAGAAACAAGTCAGTTCTTCTCCACAGGCAGCTCCGGGGGGGAAAAAAATGGAGCTACAAGAAATGCTGTGTGCAGAACAAAGGAAGACCAGATACAGGATTTTAGCAAGTGTCTTAATTTAATTAAAAGAAACGTCAAGCCCAAAGTATCGATTGAGATTGAGATCAGGACATCTGATGGGCTCAATTGCTGTTGGGATTATTGTCTCTCCAGATATATAATTAATATATAAACGGGAAAAAAATGATATACAAATAATATGATTACGGTAATAAAGCATGCATGCATCCTTTGAGTCGGCCTTGGTAGCCTGTGGTCACACAGTTCACTAAGGTATTACTCCAGGAAATTATTTCTCCACAACATTAGGCCTCTCTGATTGATCACCCTGGGTCATAATGGGCTTAGAATTCTCATTAAGCAGCTCACATCTCCATCAACATCCAATGCAGATCACGGCTGCAATTGCCATCTCATTCAGCGAGCGTGTGCCATCCAGTGTGGCACACACACGCATAAATGCACACACAGACTTACACTATGCACAGATGTGAGACTAGTGTAGCATGCGACACGTGCACATATACTTAATTATATGAATCTGCTGCTCACAGTACAGACAAGTTCAAAAAAGTGCAACAAAAAAAAAATAACCCATGTACCCAAAAGATGAGACTTTCCATGGGCGATTATGTATACACGTATAGCTTTGATCAGGTTTGATGTTTATCTGGTCTCATCAGCTGGCTGGTTGGAAAAGTGGCTCACATGCTTGGCCATGTGCTCTCTCCCCCTTAACATTCAACCATGCAGCTATCACGGCGTGACACCGGGGAAGCGACAGACCGTTGTGCTTTCACGGTTGACTGCCGAATCCTTCCTCTCACGAGTGTCCCCTCCCTTACTGCCTACAGTCTGCACTTGTCACATGGCCGGGGCTCGTGCGGACCTCCGAGGTCTGCGATTGGTCCTTTGCCTCACGGCTCCCCAATGCGTGCGACAACGTGAGCTTCAAGTCAAAAGGTTGTACGGCTGTGTGCCTAAAGGGGTCATGCGTGTGCATGCCAAATCGATTGATGGTTTTACAGTAACAATTGCTCAATTACATAAAGCCTATTTCACAGTATCTTACGAAGACGTTTTTTTTCTTTTGTGCGTTACCTTGACCAGGTTGAGGATGATGATAGGAGAGCCGAAGCGCTGCAGCATCTGGTCAAAATGGAGCGCAGCGACGTGGGCGTAGGGGTCCGCTTGGTCCACTGTCGGAGGTCAAACACAGTGATTTGTGTTAAGATAATTCATGGTATCGGGTTACAATCATTCAAATAAACGTCTGACAGGTCAGTATGCGTCGCAGTAGTGCCGAGCCACGGACCACAGATGAAAGTATTGCCACACAATTCAAATGACTGCAAATATAAAAACATTGCAACTTCCCCAGAAAAAATAATCTCTATTGAAAACACACGAATAATGCCCCACAACTGTGTAAACAAGCTTGTGTACGAATAAAAGAATAAAGATGCAATTGAATTGATTTCATCTCAATATAAATTCTAAATCCAGCAGGGGAAAAACATTAGTATTATTTAGTTTGATAGTAGCTGAAAGTGTCAACTTTTTTTTTAACAGTGTTAAAAATGTGAGATACCCAGAGAAGAATCCAAGCTCAATCAGTAGAATAATAAAGAGGGCCGGGGCCAGTCTGCTTACAATAAACAAATATTATTTGTTATTATTGTTGTTATTATTTGTCTGCGTGTGCCCCCCCTGCGGAGCCCCCCACCTGCAGCCAGCAGTCAAATAAAGCAGCCAGAAGAAAGATTAGAGGAAATAGGTCAGATCGCCCTAACTGGTATAAACGGGAGCTCAAGCACATACATTTCACTCATCATCACTTTGTATGCTGCACTTTTACATTACATTACATTACATTACATTACAGGTCATTTAGCAGACGCTTTTATCCAAAGCGACTTACATTACACTTTAAACCCATGGCTTTTTCACATTTTTGCCCGGGGAGCAATTAGGGGTTAGGTGTCTTGCTCATGGACACTTCGACATGGAACATGGGGCAGCCTGGAATCGAACCAACAACCTTGTGCTTCCCAGCACACCTTCTCTAACCCCTCTAACCCCTGCGCCACGACGACCCGATATGCACTTGCACTCAGGCCTGGGGAGGGGGGCGGGCGGGTGGGGGGGTAACATCTACATACAGTTTCACATTCTTACAGGTATGTTGGGAAGGGAATGTTGATCACGTCAATGACCAAAGTAACCCAATTAGGTCATCTCCATCACAACCACGATATTTGTCCACTTCAGAGCAATCACAAAGACCTTACCTCATGTAACCATGAGGACAGAGACGGTGGGCACGGTCCACGCACAATGTGAAATTCTAATTCCGTATACACGCACCGCACTGACCTAGTTTTGTCCAACGCGTGTCAGTCTCTGCAGCCACCGTCATACTCCTCTTCTACAATTATAATTACTCATTGCTGTTATGATTAACAGTGACTTGCGGGTGGGAAATATGCAAATTCCTGTTCTCAGAGGATTAGATTGATGCCCCTCTTCTGCTAAAACATCCTTTAAAAGGAGAAAGTGAACCACTATATTGTCTTGTCGTCCATTGCCGTACTGTCTGCTGTTATGCACCAACAATAAATGGCAATAAATGTTTCCTGATTCCTCATTCTACTAATACCAAGGGCAGAATTACTACAATTTACAACATTTACGAAATGTCAGACGAGGACTGTGTTTAAGGATCAAAGCGGGAGAGGGAGGATGAGGTAACGCCATACACACAGAGATCTTAAGGACATGCTCAGTGTGAAGTAAATGCCATCTGAGGACAAATTAAAGGGCAAACTGGGAGGGGGAAAGATTAGAATTTAGTAAAGGCATTGTGTAGATGCAGGCAACAATATCTTTCCATGGACTTTCCCCCCCAATGTCCTCAGTCTCAGTCTTTATCCTACTTATATGAAAGATGAGAACCAAGAGGGCGGGGGGGTGTCCTTTCTACATCCATTTCATTTTCTTTTTTTCTTAATCTATGTCCCAGTGGGTGACAGGAACGGCCCTTGTATAAAGATACTCTGATTTGAATGCAGTTTTTCCAATTACATTCTTCCTCTGTCCCCACTAGGTTATATCTGGTCCTGGACAGCTGCTATGAATGAATGAATATATTGAACATTCATGAATAGTTGAATAACCACTGTGGTGCTATATGGCTGACCACTGAACCAGAATACACACAAATATTTAATTTATCTGTCTTCACAATGACAAAGTAAACATAATAAACATCTTCTATTAAAGCCTGGGAAGCTTTGTCAAATCTCGACCTTTTCCACTATGAAGCAACTGTTGAGATCCATAAGAAAGAAATCTTTTATAAAAGAATATTATATAATAATATTTTTGGGGATTGAAAGCTGGAATGACAAATTGTTTTTAATATGGCTTTTATGTGATATATATATATATATATATATATATATATATATATGTATAATGTTCTATCTATTTGGAGCCATATTGGCTTGTTGGGGACATGGCAGAATTTTTGTGGGCCTATATTCATCAATTTAATCATCATTTAGATCATGAGACGCTTATATTGCAAACATGGACCATGATACGAAAGCGCTGTTGATGTGCAGAGTTCACCGGGAGTCTTACATCGTATTGGGGGTTTTGGCATCATGGTGGAAATGTCCTGGGACCAGTAGAGCGGGACGGAACCTCGCACCTGGACGTATGAGGAGTAACTTCCTGCTGTGAGGGACATGACTGAGGCGTCATTGACGATCTGCTCGGTCTCGACTTCATTAGCCACATCCCCCTGTGAGATGATACAAAAACACAAAAGCTCACCAAAATGATCCATTTTGCTACTGTTCTAGTGCTTCAAGGTCAAAGGTCAACAAGAAAAATGCACATAATAAATACTAAAGTCAGGACAGCCAAAGGTGTAATGGATAATATGAAAAAGAGGCATTCAGGGAGCGACCCGTAATGCATGCTGGCCCACTGACATGAGTTAGTGAAACAAAGCCACCATGAAACATCATAAATAACACCGGAGCTTGTCCTGCAGTAACAACTGAACCTTGTGCTGCAATCAAGCATATTTCCAATTTTGTATACAGTAAATCTACTTTACTTGTCCTTGACCACAATAGCAGGTTACTGAAAACTGTGTCCCAATCGCAGGACGGCAGGTTATCTACGTTCCCTCCCACAACACACCCACACAGACACTCATGCATACTGTAGGAGGAGGCAGCGGGTCATATTAACCCCCGTGATCACCCTGAGTCATCTAAATCCTCCCGGCGGCCTTGCCTCCGCTATCTATTTTTCCTGTTGCCTCGGCAACGCTGTACCTCACAGTTGGCTCCTCTTTTGAGGAAGCGGGTACCGGCAAATTTGCTGGAGCGCCTGGCAATAAGGGTGATGTGAACCGGTCGGCCGTAGATCAGAAGCTCTGAAGTCGGTATGTAAAGGAATAAAAACAATGATAATAACTGCAAAACACATACAACATGCACAAACATTGGACATGCACTTACAGTAACGTGTCTTCAGAGTAGTTTTAGTTTTCACCCTCCCTGCAATCTTGTATTGGGCCTCATTTACGATCTTCAATAAACTCAAAAATAAAAGTGAGTCATTGTTATTTTCTCCTCTTAACCACTTTTGAGAACTTGTTGTCTAAACATCAATGTGCCACCTTCCCCTCTTATTGTTTTCAAATATGTATTTTGTATTTATTGCGCGCTTCAGGGTCTCGCGATGCACCTCTTATTGCATCCAACCACCCGCTGACACGCAGAGAAACAGTAGCGAAGGCCAAACCGTTTCCAGGAATTGTGTAAACACAAAGCACCCACACATTGTCACCGTGGCAACACGCTGTCTGATGACAGAGTCGATAGCAGCACTGACTGTAAAGAACACCTTATTGGATTAGTTTATACTCCTACTCCAACTTAAAAACAGACATAAAATATATTCAGTAAAAGTATTTGCCAATGAAAAAATAAGTAACTTGTTTAGACTGAAAGGTGAAAAGAATTATACTGCATAATGTGATTTATGCAAACAAGAATCGAAAAGATCCCAGTTCTGGTCTTGCCTAAGCCTCCCTGCAGCAGTTACCCATGATGCATCAGAAAATCCAGAAGACATTCGTTGTGCGGTCGTCACAAATCAGTCAATGCTGACAGGTGTTCTGTCCAAACAAAATCCCGACGAGGCGCTACACAGTTTGTCACCTCAATTAAAAGGGCCCACAAACAAAACTGACTCAACATCTCTCAAAGGATACTGGACTGGCCACAAAAGCCGTGGATTATATACATGAGCCAGTCACGATGCACTATGTCCTTGACTCGTTCCAGCAGCTTCCCGTTCCACACGTACTTGTAGTACGGCTCGCTCTGGAGGCCGTAAACCACTGTGGTGGAAGAGTGAGAACACACACAACCGTAGGATCATTTGACTGAAATGGGGTCCAATCACACCAATCCATTAGAAAGCAAGAAAGAGGGAAAAATAAACCTGAGGAGATGCAGGATGTGGAACAAGAAGTCATATTTTTTTAATTACAAGTGGACTTTCAGGACATCAAGGTCAAACAATTACACGCGTCTCTGCCAGCCAATAGAAGAAACACAATGTATATAAAGGCGTGTTGATCAGCATCCTCTCACCTTGTGTAGGTAGACCCTCGTCTTCAAAGATGTCAAAGCTGTCATGCTTGCTCTGTTTCTGTACTTCTTCCTCAGCGGAGGAAGTTGGTGACGACCACAGCTCGTAAGGCCTCTGCAGCAGAGTGAGGTTGTACTGCAGCGAGTGGCTCAGGTCGTAGCTGTAGCTGCGTGGCACAACAGGGAAAGCGATTGAAACACACAGATCCTCTGCTGTGACCAAAGGACATTTGGAGACATCACGCGTATTTCATGTCAGGCGAAACTTTACACTCTGACCAGAAAGACAAGCTGGAAATACAACCTTCTTGGTGAGAATTTCTTACCTGAAGTAAAAGTTACTGGACAGGTCCACGTTCTGAAAGATCCGCACATATCTAAGAGAGCAAAAATTCATTAAACTCATCTGATATGAGCATCACAAAACAAGTCATCTACAGAGGGAATTCATTCACTAAGCTGCTATATTTACTTCAGAAGGTTTATGATGATTGACATAACACATTTAATTGAGATCTCAGACGTCAGTAACGTTACGTGCGCACAAACCTGTCGGAAGTCTATGAAAATTTCACGTTTTGCTGTTGTTCGTTGGCTTTGAATCAGATTAAAGTGACTTGATACTGGTCTCCTTGTATGTGGAGACTATGGTGTGTTTGAACAAATCTGAGTGTGCACACACACACACACACACACACACAAAAACTCGCTAATAGCAACTACGCTTTGTGTTTCAAACTCTAATGCAGGGGGGAACGAGGCAGTACCTTGCTTCATCCGGGTGCGTAACCCTGACCGAGTCATTGGGGATGTAGATCATGCTGGTGTCTTCAATTTTGTAGATGGAGTGGCCACCGATGTCGGCCATCTTTCTACGCTTGGTGATCAGCACAATGTAGTATCCTTCGAGGAAACGCACAAAACCTGTGAAAAAAAGTTTAAAAATGAACAATTTTTTTGTTTTTTTTAAATAAACTGGTGAAATCTGTTTGCATGTCATACATCACTAGCTTACCTATATGCTACTGTCATTTCAGTGCTACATAGTAAACGTCTGACACGAAGAGTAACCCAAACATAATCAATGATTTACCTTCAGCTCCAGATGAGCCATGTTCTTATTGTTAAAAGGGTTTTTAGAGGTGTGTTTTTTATAGCCGCCTGATTATTGTGCCCCATTAAGACCAGTACTTTATGTAAGTGTGACACGGCTTCGTTACACAACGGCTGAAACGAATCTGTGCACGGATGAATTGCGTCTCCCAGGTGCAATTTTGCACCTAAATTAGACGTCCTTGTACATTCTGACTATTTACAATCACACACTCAAGTTTCATCAAAGGTCAAGTTGTGTTTCAACACACAACGAAAATGCACAATCATGCCGGCTCATACAGTATGATGATGGTGTGTGGATACTTAAGATAACAAATTACACAAGAACGAGGTCAAAAATGTCCCTCAACACAGTTTCACAAAATCAACGGTTTGCAGAATGTTATAAACAGGCTTTTTTAATTATTAGAACAATGTAAAGTTCACTTCATGCGTTGAATATACTGTATTGTATTTTTTTAAATGTACAACTAAATTCATCAAAGAGTAAACTGGATCACAGACTGTGTAAACAAAAGGATTAAATCTGCTCATTTGGAGAAGAACTTGTCAAGCTTTTTTGTCCGTCTAAATATTATAAATAGACCTATTTTGAGATGCAATTGTTTAATGTTCTTAATTCTTGTATTAGTATCTCACTAGCTTTTCCATGTTTTTGTACTTTCATTAAATACAAGACACATTATGAACTAAACATGCATGCATGCTGAGGGAGGCATTTTCCATCTCAAAGTAGACAATATTGGGTAAAAATAAGTAAGACAATAAGAACACCATAGAGTCCATAGAGAGCAGGACTCAAAGTTCTCTAAAAAGAAAAAAAAAATATATATATATATATATATGGTTTTAAAACTGTTTTAATTTTTTTCTTACATCATTGACCATCTGTTAAATAACCTAATTATTAGCCTATCCAAATGTTTGAAGGATTCCCCATTTGAAGCCACCACTAAACTAAGGATGACACTAATTGGAACCGATGGTCTATTTGTCTGAAACCTTTACTGTACTACTACCATCGGCTGCTGTATCCAAATTTAAGAGTTTCAACTATGTCATGAATGAGAGCAAACTAGATGTTCCTTCACTCTGGGATTTGGTGAACGACTGTTTGTTCATTTAGTTTCTTCCTGGTAGTGACGGGTCAGACTGACAAAACAAGGCAAATGAAAGAGAATAACAGTCTACTCCGCTTGTTCCTAATAAAATACAGTAGCAAAAATGTGCAAGTCAAGTGTCTCTCTTAATAGACTGAACCCGACCAAAACACTTGTATTCCATCGGACACTGTGACATTGGAAAATAGTGTCTCGAGAACAAAGATGGCACGAGGCAACAATGGTAAAAACACCTCATCTATTCAAGCGGATGTCAAAGTCTGTCTGTGTCAGTGTGACCGACCCATCTGAAAGTTCAGTGATGACGCATAGTTATTGGTTTGGATGCGTTGCGATTATGCAGTTAAATACTTAGCATACTAAGCATTAGCATGCTAAGCACATCCAGCTTCTTTTTTTGTTGTTGTTGCCAGAAATGGATATGCAAACAGCCGGACACACAAACACACGCTGGATGACATGGTACGAAGAAAGTACCTTATTTACTTTAATTAATAGTTTTGCAGAAGTAGGAAGTGTCTGCAATTTTTATTTTTTTTCTTTCAAATGCACGTTTTTTTTTTTGTGGCGAACAAATGATCTACGATAAACTAACCGCCCATGTGTGTTACGTGAAATGCAGGGCATGGCTATACATCATACTCACACACCGATTACTGCTCACACAGCATCTGGAGTGCGAACGCGGGCGGAGGACCGAGTGTGACGTTCAGTTTCACAAACGTCTCGTGTGACACAAACCTTGGCTTTTATTTATGGGGCGGACAGACAGAACAAGTTGACCCTGACAATGAGAGTGGCCTGTGTTTCCAAGTCTCGGGTAACCAAAAGGCCACAAGGAGCCACAATAAACATTTTTTTTGGTAAATGGGTAGGTCTGTGTCTTCAAACCATGATGCGAGCTATCCTACCAACAGAATGTAATCGGAAATAACTATTTATTGCAGTTTTAATAACATTTCCTGCCCCTTTTCTTTCAATTAAAAAAACGTAGACAGAGAAATGTTTTAACACAACGTAGTTTATACAGCAAATAAATATGAATGTCAATAAAGATTCTTGCTGCCTTCTCAGTTCTGATTTGAAAAAGAATGGGAAATTATTAGAAATGTAAAAAAAGAGATTCTTGATCGGGTCATGATATGAAACCTGACAATTTAATATTATAAGCTGCCCAAAAGCAGTTGCAGGACAAGTAGGGCTGTTTTGTAGTTTATTACAACGTTCTCCCAGGTGATCCTTTTATTTGATGTTTTTCCATCTCCAGCACTGACTGGAATATGCAAAACCAGGTCAGTATGTGCTGCTGTGGAACCACGGAGTTACATGGTGTTTTCAGTGCACGCCACAATGGTTGTTGACATGCCAGCGGAGGAGCGAGTGGAAGGACAGCACTTACCCACAATGCCAAAGGCTGATAAAGACCTGGACAGACCCGAAGAACCCTTCTGCCCAATCTTTGTGCGGTTTCCCAGGTCCAGGCGGCCCAGCAACTCCCAGACCTCTTGCTGGTTGTACACATGCTGCAGATAAATACACCGTGAGAAGCCATTCACATATTTAAATCTTTTTCATACCGTTAATTTTACCTTGCAATAAGAAAATAGGGGATAGTTTACTTATTTACCTGGTTTAAAACCAGTGAGAATTTATTTTCTTTGCGATAACGTGCAAATTATTAGCATGCATGTTTAATCAATGCCCTTTTTCTTCAAAAGGTTTAAAGATCCTCAATAAGGAAATAAAGAGAAGATTTTGAATTAATTGACAGCAGTTATGAGGAGGATATGCAAATGGGGCAACAGCCTTTGCACGTGAGTCATCTACACCCGAATCATAGCTTTCATAACATATTATCTACACTAAAAGATCAACAAAAAAAGTAACCCACTACAGTATGAAAAACGATCTCTGAAGTATTTATGTTTTATACATTTAATTCAAAATGCGAAATGCAATAAGAACACGGTTTATAATCTTTATTCATCTGAAAGCGGTTTACCTTCATTGTTTAATCACATTCTAAATGCACTGTGCTTTATTAAACACGCTACCCCAACAATAGAATTAACCACAAACAGAGCTCCCATACATATTTAGTTACGGTTTTGATAAAGAATCCAATCCAAGCCTATAGATCCTGGTAATGAGCTGCAGAGAAAAAAAAGGAGGCGCATGCAGCACTGCACAGCTAAGCTGTCGCCCTTAATAAACTTGACAGGCTGAGTGATTGTTCAATTTTATCCGAGCATGCCGTACTTACATTCATTACATAAGCACACACATTAGCATAGCACTGGAAATCCACTTACCTTATCATCAATAATGACCAGGTCCTTGGGTTCAGTGCGGTCAATCTTCAGGACTCTGTGTTTTGTTTGTGCCTGATTGGTCCCCACCAAAAAATACCTCTGGAAAGAATATAAAAGCAATATACATTGTGACTTAAATGATTTATTGCAGAGCTTGCATTTGGCACATGGAGAATATGTATACACTGATTACAAAAAAATGAATGCTTTTAATTGTGATTGATTGCATAAGAAAACATCTGGAAAAATACATCTTAGAGAGGACACACTTCCTACAGTGCAGTCCTTTGGTTAAAGTGTTTCGGTCTTCAGGTTTTTTTTCCCCCTATAATGTGCAACATTTTCTCTCCACAATGAGCAACCCAAGTAGAAATGCATGAATCATAAGACACATAACAGGGAATCCACACATATCGTTCTACATGAGAATATACACCACATTGCAGAGTAGTTACAGTCGGGAGAACATTTGGGCGCAGCACATATTGAAATCCTAAATATTTTTCCCTTTTTCTTTCAAGTCATTATTTTACCTCACGCTGGGTTGAGAGATGGCTTAAGATTTTCTGCCCTCTAAAGAACATTATATATTGGGACACTTTGGATCAGTACAGTCCGCAACCATTAGAGCAATTTTGTCCTGTTCCCCAATATCTTATGGAGCCCTCTTTGTCCACGATAGTGAAGACAGTCCGTTCATCCACTGATGGGCAAAATGGGCACAGTGGTTCCATACGAAATTATGAAAGCTCAACTGTGACAAATGCTTTCCTGCTTTACCATCTAAGTATTTCCTGTCTATCAGCTGTCTATCACACTGTTATAGCCCGTCCTTATTTAACCACTAGTGCTTTGGAAAATAGGGAAAAAAAATGTACAGACAAACAGACAGCGATAAAAGCACCATGCACATGATGGTGCAGTCATGTGTGCTTACTGGCATGTTGATTTTACAAACTTATTCAACACTAAATTAAAATTTACAAGTAATCCTTTCTGGTGAATTATTATCATTGTGATTGTCTAGACCAGGGGTGTCAAAGTCAAATGGACGGAGGGCCAAATAAAAAATTTAGCTACAAGCCGAGGGCCGGACTGTTTGAATGTTCATTGAAAAATTTTTAAATGACGCATATAGTCTAGTGAACCTAATTGAACCTACTGAAAACCTAACAAATATATTCCAATATGATCAGATAAATAAAGCAATATTTTCTTATGGCTCTGTCAGTAATCTTTAATTTTCAACAGACACAAAAGACAAATTTCCTTTATATAAAAATCCCCATAACATGAACATTAAATGAAAGAAACCGGTATTCAAGGCACCATCAGTAGCCTATATTTTCTATTTTGGCAAAAGTGGGCTAAATTTACTTCAAAGAAAAAAACAATAGCAATTTTCTATCATCCACTCAACTGAAATATTTTTAAAATATAATTGGATTGAAATACAATAAAATAAAGTGCAAAAATCTATTAATCAAAAACAACACTTTGTTTAAGGAGAAGTAACATGCAGTGAAAACAAATATTAAACTTTAACTTTTAAACTTGAACTGAGTAAAAACTCTAAATATGTGATTGCACAGTAATGTTCACTTGTTTGAGGTTGAGGGTGATACTTGGTGGTGTCCCATCTTTTCCACAAGTTCATCAATGTTCGGGGTAAGGCTCTGAGCTGAGGAAATCCTCAGAATTGAGTGGAGGTGTTCAGCAGTAAGTCGACTTCTGTGTGATGTTTTGTTCAAGTTCATCAAAGAAAACAGTTGTTCACACAGGTATGTGCTGCCAAACATAGACAACGTTTGAGCAGCCTGGATGCGCAGCTGGGGCATTGTGTCGGGGAGGAAACGGGCGAACTCCGCAGCACCCACTGCCGCATATTTTGCCCTCAGTGCATCATTGCATTGGAGGTCAATCAACTCCATTTGGAGGTTTGGTGGTGAGCTTTCCACGTCAACAGCAAATGGGTTACCGAGCAGTTCCAACCTGCTTTTTTGTGCTTCAAAGTCAGCAAATCGGCGTCGAAAGTCAGCGGCAAGCATACCTATTTTATCAGCCAACTGTGCGCTCGGGAACGCAGATTATACTCTTTCAGTACCGCCACACTTTCTCCACACAGAAGACACACAGGTTTTCCAGCTACCTCCGTGAACAAATACTCCGACTCCCACCTTGTTTGAAACCCCCGGTTCTCAGTGTCCACCTTCCGTTTTGCCATTTTTGATGGGTATCTGAAAGTTAATTTTACTGTGATGCTGACAACTGCTGTGCCAATAAATATTGAAATGAAGCAGCCTACTGCTCGGTGCGTCACCGTTGCATTGTGGGAAATGTAGTACTGGTGCGTGTAAAAGATCTGCGGGCTGCCGGCTTGCTGCGGTCTGCGGGCCGGTTCTAATAATAAATCAAGATCATCCCAGGGGCCGTAAAAAACCTTCTCGCGGGCCGGATGTGGCCCGCGGGCCTTGACTCTGACATATGTGGTCTAGACACTACGACTGACACCAAGGGGAACCCTGGAGTAATAAATCACCACAAACAAACCCTCTTTTGCTGCCATCTAGTGTTTGCCAACGTCCTTCATCGCCGTTATATGTGCAGCTTATGAGGTCCTTAAAGTTAAGAGTGTCTTTCTTACTTCAGAAAGACTAGAAAATCCATCGGTGCAGTCCGCATTGCAGCAAGGGGAAATAATGCTTTTATCATGGGAGGGATTTATGTTGTGATGGAGATGTGATCATTTAAATGTCCTAGATACTGCCTGGCCTAAATACATAATGTGTCCTTGCTAGCCAGAGTCAGTCAGCTGGGAAAAAAAGTGTGTGTGCTATAAAGTTCCAATCCCAGTGTGTGCCTCCAAAAACAACAACACGTGAGTGGCACAACCTGCTGCTCCAAAAAGAAAACATGTGGACCTGTTTGAATGCACTTGATCAATAGCATCATTTTATAAAAATACGTTGTTTTTCCCATCATCCTGTTGTTCTAATCAGCTCTTTGTCGTGTGATGTAACTGGAAGAGGTGTTGTTTGCTCCTTGCAGGTGCAACCGAAGGACAAATTGATGAGGACGTGTCGGCGTCATTATGAAAAAAGTTACAATAACAGCATAAAGGTAATTGAGGACTTACGGCTCTGGTTTCATACAGAACCATCCTCTGGATCCCACTGATGGTAGCGGCTGACTGGGGCATTTTCTTAACCCTGTGTTCTCCACACTGTCAGAAAATCCAGTGGAGAAGACGAGCTGCAAAGCAAAAAAAACACAACATAAAAATCCGTTAACTTCACATCGTGAATTGCAAAGGCGACCAGGCATTCCTACGTTGGTTAAACGTGTCACTGCATTAAGAACCTCTTATCGTCCTATTTCCTAGTTAATCAACGTCACTTACCATTAATTTAACGTTAGCTAACGTTAGCTAGTTGCGATAGCCAAAAGTCATCACCGGATTAGATCATATGCATTTCCCCCGTTAGCCTACACATCTTCTTTAAGCGTGTTTTAATCATTCATTTTGTGTTTAACCTGCTCAGATAACTACAGCTAGCATGTAAGTAAAAAGTAACATGACTTTGTTTTAGTCAGGTGACCGTTTCCGCCAATCTCGTGTCAACTGCTACGGTGGCTTGCAAAGCCCAAAACTTCGAAGGGCTAAAAACGCGATTAAAAATTGACGATTCGAGTGCTCGATCTGCCTTTTATTTGCGGAAAACCTTTTCAACGCGGTTTTTATAAATAATGAAACACACCTCTTAATGAAGCAAACTTCATTAAAAATTTCAAAGAGAAAGTTATTGGATAGCTTAGACGTCAAACCCACCGTAGTTCGTTGCTATAGTAACCGTACCGGGTGACGATTCACAACAAACGTTAGGTTCCGTAAAAGTTACGTTATCCTAGTAAACAAACGATGAGACAAGACATAAACTGATAAAAATAAAAAACAATGTTCCAAAGTAAGGGTGAGTAAACTTATTTTGAAATATTACGTAAATTACTTGGCTAATTCATCTTTAACCAATTGGGGTTAAATTGATCACTGTTCACTGGTACATAATGTTAGCCTTGTAAGATCGTCATGTTAATATTCAAATACATTGAGAAAGGATCTATCCCCGTTCTGTCTATGACTTGTCATCCTCTCTGTACGTTACATGTATATCCAATAAGCTTCAATAGACCGGTTTGTGGACAACATAATAGAAGATGAAGCTGAGAGAGAGACTCTTCTTGCCAAACCCACCTGCTTCCTAATAGTTGGCAGACCGGTATTTGTCTTTGATTTGTACACACGTGCCCTAAATTCCTCTGATACTCATAATATAATCCATTGAATCCATCTGAATTTTGTGGTTATCTTTGTGGTAGGGTGTTGGCAAATCCACCTTGGCAAAAAACATAGCGGAGTCCTGTAAGTGTATCCTAATTGATGGTAAGCAAAATAGTTGTATTTCTGGTCATTTTCCAATCTTAATTCAAACATTTCTCACCAACTTTTATCATTTTTCAGATACAGATCTGCTAAACACCCACCTAAAAAATAAAACAAAGCAAGGCATGGAGGTGAGTATCCAAGGTTAAGTGATCCTTTTCAACCTTTCAAATACTATATATAAATACTATACTTTCTATATTGCTTTTTCTTTTAGCTCCTGAATATCTTATCTGAGGGGAGAAGTGTACCAGAAGACATGGTGCTCCAGCTGATTCTTGCTAGGCTTAACTCAGCAGATGTGGAGCACTATGGTAAATCATTAAGCTCAATCGGTTTCTGCATCCTGGTCATGTATTCAGATCGCACATTTCAATTCAAAACACTAGTGTGAGCTCTGCCACTACTTGTACTTGATAAAACAATGTGGTGCAATCCAGGGTACGTACTGAGCTGCCTACCGTTCATGTCGGAAGAGTGTCTGAAGATCCACGAGCAGCTCGAGCTGATCAAAAACCTCAAACTAACACCAGATTTCATCATCAACATCAAGGTAATCCCACATGTCTCCCATTTAGAGTTCTACATTGCATTGAGCAGCAACTGCTTCAAGTAATTAAATCCCCCTTTTCTCTTTTTACACATTCATACGTATGTGTGAACTTAATGATGCGTTCCTCCAACAGTGTGCAGACAAGGACCTGGTCCATCGGCTGTCCCGTCTGAAGCTGCACCCAGAGACAGGCCAGCTGTACAACAGGGGACAGTGGATGCGTGTGGAGGAGTTTAACAAGAAGAGGGAGAACAAGGATGAGGAAGTGGAGGAGGAGGAGGAAGATGAGCAGGTATGGCTTCTGGGAAAAAAACGCTCTTTCCAATGGGTTTAAAAGTTACTGCCCTTGGCTTTAGAGAGTAATTTGATTTAGATGATTAATACTATTATAATTTCCTGCAAGTTCTGTCCTCAATGTCCTCATATTTTACGGTATTAGGAGACAGTAAACATTTCGATTTTGACTTTTTTTTAAATGGCACAGACAAGAAAGCTTGTCTGTGCGTTCAGGATTCCTTGTCGTACTAATTGGGTTTGTTTCCCCTGCAGGAACTCCAAAAGGATATCATTGGCCAAATGGTGTGGACGCCAGAAAATCTGGATGGAAATGCTTTTGCTAGAATCAACATGTACAAGGATACTGTGCTCAGACCACTGGAGGCGAGTTACCCCAAAAAAACAGATGCATGAGATGAATTGCCCCTTTTCAAAAGAGCAAAAATACTATGGTTACTAAATCGTATGTTCATTTTCTTTCAGGCCTACATATCAGGCCACAACCCCGTCTTTCTGTTGGAGCTGGATGGAAACAACCCACCTGAGGAACTGCACTCAGTAAACACACTAGGGATACATTTTCCATCTTCATTGTTGCATATTGCAAACATGATAACAAACACCACATTTTGGCATATGCTGTTAAAATGTATTTTTTCCCAATGTTATGTTTTTATTAGTAGACAACATTAGTCTGGCGCTTGAATTTGATAGTGATGCCTGTGTGGCATATGTGAGAGCATCTGAGCACAAGTGTGCAAGTTTGACTAACCATGTATTCTGTTGGCTGATTTATTGTTTTTATTGTTTGGTCTGTAGTCTGTCATGTCCCGTCTTGGATCCATGGCAATAAAGCGTGTCTCCATTCCAGTGCTCCTTCACCAGACCGATGATGAAGAATCACCAGAGGAAATTGACACGGTCTGCTATTAGTGACCATGTTGAGATTCAATTTTTTAAATGTATTGAAATCAACCCTTGTCTATAAACTCAAAAATTCAAACATACACTCTGCACTACATCAATAGAACTACTTCAACTCCTGAGTCCATCTCTTTTCCAGGACGATCTATTGAGATCAATGTCCTCTTCTAGGGCAGTGGCCCCCGGCTTCAGATGGAGAAGGAGCCGCTGGAGCCAAACTTGTCCCGTTGCTCTGAGGGAGGGCAAGGTCATTTCTGGCAAGCCTGAATTTTGTGTTGGGTGAGTGATTGTTGGCACAGAATCCATCTTGCTTCAAATGATACTGGCTGAGAATACCAGCTAACTCTCATTCCAACCTCCTCTGCAGCTTCCAGGACAAATTGTACCTCCTCTCCTCTCAGGAGGCATACCAGAAGTTTGTTACAAACCCCCGACAGTATTTACTTCCTCCGATGCCCAGACCCCCTTGCAGAGTTTCCATCATTGGACCTCCGAAGGCAGGGAAAAGCACTCTGTGTAAGCTTCTAGCTCAGCACTACAATGCATCGGTGCTTGACATGGAGGTCTTGGTGCAGCCACTTCTGGCCAAGGTTGAGCAGGAGACAAAACAGATAGCTATGGAGAAAATCCAGATAAAGATGGAGCAGGATGGTGAGCAGAATTCAGGCAAGTTGGGTTTGCAGTATTTATACCGGACAAACAATGATATTTGAGATAATGAGATAACCAACACAATGTTCTATAGCTTCATAACTTTCCCCGCAACCATGTGTTATTTTCCACATCTGCATCTGAATCTACAATTCAACATACATTTGAACACGTCACTCATGAATCCCCCAGCTTTGCGACAGCACAATATACCATATTTGTTCTACTGTTTCCAGTGACGGAGGATCATCCAGAGGTACACGCCATGGTGCAGTCTGCTCTGGAAGAAGCTAGACATATGAGCACATCTCCCGTCGGCCTTCATGCCGAGGTACTGGAGAAGCGTGTGAAAGAGGTACGTCATGATCTGTAAAACGGCAGCTTTACTTACACAGGCTTTCTGGTCATAAGAAAGAGATTTCCATTCCTTCCATTCCATGTTGCCATTGGCCATTTATTATCAACAACAAACACATTTCAGTCAATTCCCAGTATTGAGCATCTAACTAAAGTGAGAGTTTGGCCTAAAATGCAATATACATGATATCATCTCTAACAGCTTCAATTCTGATACAGATTGAAGAAGCTGAAGCTGATTCTGGCTGGGTGCTTGACAACTTTCCCACAGACCTTTCTGAAATGAATAGCATACAGCAAGCTGGACTCCTGCCAGACATCCTCTTCTGTCTCAGAGACAGAGATGGCAATCAGGGTACGAGACACAAAAGCAGTGCATCACAAACAAAAAGTTGTGTGATTTGAATACGTACACTTGAATATGAATTCAAGTCCCGTCACTGTCTATTTAACATTGCACCTGAATCTGTTGAATAGTTTTGAAGAGATTGTATGAGACAAACAAGGACCGCGTGGACAACGCATTAAGGAAGAGGTTGCAGGACGAGCAATCCGAGAAGGAGAAACAGGCTTTGTGAGTGCATGTGCAATGATGCTGTCAAAATGAGATGTGTTGTTCTATCTGAAATGGATTGTTTATGGAGCTTTGTTATTGTGCTTGATTTCTGATCTTTGTAGAAACCAGAAGGAATCAGAAGTAGAGAACAAGCCTGCACAGCTGCAAACTGATCTCGAGAGGATTGTGGAAGAGACCACTACAGATCCTGCCATTACCGAAAAGAAAGGTGAGACACTTTTATTACGCTTTTAAATCCGTCCGGCTGTTTTTATATGTGAGAACACCGTATGTAAACACAGCAGAATCCAACTATATTAACTCCTCTCTCTCGTTCTTAAACTCTTCATCTACGTTCGGTGTTGCTCAAGCTGTGGAACTACCCGACCATTGGGACCTGGGTTACCCAGACAGCTCGGAGATGGATGACTATAAACTGCAACTGCAACAGTTTGTGTCCGAATGGGGCCGAATGCAGTCTGCATTAACCGCCGTCTACTCGGTGCTGGATATCGGCGACAAAAGCCCAGAGGACCTGCTTCAAGAGATGGTCCTTCAAATGGAGAGTGAGTGCAACCGTTTTTGTAGTATCACTCAAACGTTTGTTACACCACAAACCGTATTTATTTTGATCGGCCAGAATGGAAAGTCGGGTTTCAAGTCAATTCCATATTACTATGGTATACTACCAAAGATTTTTAATGGTTTATCTAACAATGTGACCACTACAGCTACTAGATACCCAGTTTGTTAGATCCAATCTAGTTTACATGCATGATTTTCAGAACCCTTTGAGCATGAATCTTGGGAGCTGTCAGCAGTGGACCTGAACATGGAGGCAGAGGATATCGAGGCGGAGTTGCAGAGAGCCGAGGAAGGCAGCAGTGACAATGACACAGCTGAGGAGGAGAATGAAGTCAGTATTTAAGCAGTTTTTTACTTTAGAAAGTGGTTTAAATACCGCAGTTTAAATGTCACGACTTTTTTAAAATCATTTCTTGTCAGTTAATACCAGCATCTCCTTCCTCTCAATGAAAGCAGGGTGACTCAACATTCAAGAGGTTATTAGGAGATACCCAACATTTCTGTCCTGTGGCCTTAAAAAAACACAATATCTTGCGGCCATGCACGGATGAAATTGCCGCCAAGTACCGTGAGAAGACCTTCTACTTCTCGAGCATCGAAGCCAGGGACTCCTTCCTTGAAAACCCTGTTCAATTTGTTGCGCAGACTGAGCCTCTCAAGGTACGAGCTGACAAAGGTAAAGAAAGAAAAAGTCAGAGAAATAAAAGATTAAAACGGGTTTCTTGTCACCTTCTATCCCAGCCTCCCGTCCTGCGGATCTTTTTGCTCGGCACCCGAGGGGCGGGCAAGACCACTAATGGGGAGTGGCTCGCCCGGCAGCTCGGCATCTTTCACATTCAGTTCAGAGAGCAGCTCCAAACGCTCATCGTGGCCAAGACACAGAAACGGGTACCTGATACAGGTGAGGTGGATTCTTTCCTGGGGTCCCCTGAGGATTTGGAGGCCCTGATAGCGGAAGCCAGGGGGGAGGTTGAGGAGGAGACGGAGGAAATGGAGGACGATTCCTCCAATATGAGTGAAAAGCAGGTCAGCTTTTAAAAAACGTGTTATGTGTCAGTATTATGATGCCTGTGTGGATTATTATACTTTGAAATACGTTGTGTGTTGTAGCAACAGGAAGTGGTTCTGACGGATGAGGAAGAGGCAATCAAAGCCTACCTGTCTGATGGAGATCCACTGACTCCACAGATCCTGGATATGGTTATCGCACCATACTGGAAACAAGAGCCATACATGTAGTTGTATATGAACATACAATACACTCTCATCCCGCCCTGTGTGCAGTAATATTAACTGCCAGCCTAGAATCCTAAGGTGTTTACCTGACCGTTCTCCATCTTCAAGATCTACAGGTTTTATTTTGGAGGGCTTCCCCCACCATCCCGATGAGGTGCAGTACCTGTTGGAGAAACAGCTTTTCCCTGACGTTGTGGTCACGATGGCGGTGGATGTCACAGACGTCCAGAAGCGTCTGTTTCCGAAATTCTTGGAGAGCTGGCGGGAGCGCCGCAACCACCGGGACGCACAGCTGGGCCTCCTACGAGATCTGCGCAAGAAGAACAGGGTGAGCGAGCGACAACTCAGGAGAATATCCACTCGGCGCACTTTTTTATCCGCATTGTTCTGCATTGTGTATAGATTGCGTGTGGGTATCTGGCACAAGTAACTCTCTTTGGTACAGGAAGAGAAGATTGCCAAGAGGAGGGCTGAACTCACAGAGGCAGAAAATACAAAGGTAAAAAAAAAAAAATGTCTCCATCAGCCCCTCTCCATCACCAGTTAAACTTCCTCCTGTCTCCAACGCATCAGCTCATAAATCGTGGGGAGGAAGAAGGCGATGAAGACGACGAAGCTGCAAGCAACGGAGAGGACAGGATAGAGGACATGCTGGAGGAGGAGTTTCCTTTGGAGGAGGAAAACGAAGACTTTGAGAATGAGGAGACTGAGGAGGCCGCGTCTGAGAGGCTGGAGGCGGAGATAGAGGAGCGTTACGTGGCGGATGAAAACAGCGTTGTTACTGTGACGGTACAAAGAAGCAAAACCTAATGTCGTGGCCAGACATGCTCACATATCAAACCCTTTTTAATACATTTTTAATAAGTTACAAAATATTTATCAAGTTAAACATCAGTAGACGTTATGTATATTATATTTGACAACATAAACTATTTTAATACAAACATTTTACATTCTGATTACCACAACACATCCGTTGGCGTTACAGAGACACAAGTTGGATCCAGGATCAACCTAATGTGACTTTACGTGGTCTGCATAATGTACATTGACGTGAAGTGTAATCTTCCATGTACTCGGATATTTTGCTTTATGCTGTTCTATCTTCAGGAGCTTCTGGGGGAACTAAACATACCCACAGTATCAATCAGTGCCTCTCGCAGGCTCGCTATTGTGCAACGTCAACTGCTCCAGAAAATCCAGCCCCTGCTGACCAACAGGGAGTCACTCTTCCAAAGCTGCCAACCCATCTCGTACAGCCTGGCCCATCAGCTGCTGCTCTCCTCCTACAAGCTCCACAGTGCCTTTGGCTGCTGGGATCCCATAAATGTATTTGTATTATACAAATGGCCATTATGTCTTTTTTTTAAAATACTTTCCTGACAGCCCTACATAACGTATTTCTTAACATAATGTTTTGTCCACACACCTCCCTCTTCTACAGCACTACAGAGACAGAGAGTCATTCCAGCCTCTGCAGTGGCCTCTCAATACCTCATATCCCCTGATCTTCCATCAGTATATTTACTTCTTTGCGTCCAAAGAGAACCGCAACACATTCATGCTGAATCCCTTGAAGTACCTCAGACAGCCAAAGCCCACACCTCCCCTTCCTGTTAAAATAGCAGTTGTCGGACCTCCCAAATCTGGAAAGACCACCGGTAAAACCCAAGACAGCTGCAAAATCTTCAACACAGAATTGTCCCTCTTACACTTTTTCAAACGCTCATCACTCTCCTCTCTTCCCGTTCTGCATTCTTCTCCATTTGCTTTAACTCTACAGTGGCACAGATGTTTGCTGAGAAATATGGCTTGGCCCGTCTGTCCATTGGTGGTGTTATGCGTGTGGTGCTTAGCAAACATGAGCACACAGATCTGGTCGTCCAGATGAAAAAGTATCTCTCTCAGGGATCCGCCGTGCCCGATGAACTGGCCATTCAGTGTCTGGAGGTGGTGCTCATGAGCTCGGTCTGCAACACTCAGGGGTAAGATGAGGATTTCTGCCCCGTTTAGTTATTAAAGCTCAAGGCTTGAAAACATCCTAACTGTTACCTTAGCACAACCTTTGTGCTCTTCTGCAAATCTGCAAATGCTGCTTGAGGGTGCTTGAGAAAACAACATTTAATGGCATCGCAGGTACGTGTTGGATGGCTTTCCGAAGACGATTAAGCAGTCACAGCTGATGGCGTCTCGCGGCATCATTCCCATGATACTTTTTGAGCTGGAGCTGGACTCAGTGGAGCTGCTGAGGAGAGGTCTTCTGGACAAGATGAAGCCCAACAAGTTAGTGAGAAAAACACACACCAATAGCAACTATACTCATCTTTATAAATACACGGCTGTTTTTTCAACAACAAACCCCCAGCACTGGATGAAAACATGTTGTGAAGCCCTCTCTCCTCCCACTGCAGGCCTCACCTGACGCACGACAGCTCAGAGATCCTCCACTTTCGTAACTGTTGTTACAAGCAGGAGATGGAGCGTGTTAGGCCTCACTTCCAAGAACAATATCAGAACTGGATCCCGCTCGATGGCACGAAGAGCAAATGGTGGCTTTGGAACAGAATTACACAGGAGGTCAGCATCAGCATGAAACATGTCTCCAACTACCTCTGGAGGACACGCGGCGGTACGTGCTAGCTTAGCTTTCCCGAAATCAGCCTTTTACACTTTACATTAGAAAAGCTGCCAAACTTGATTAGCTCATTCTCCTTTTGCTCTTTCATTTTGAAGGGCAAGCGGCCTCCATCGACAGGCTGTGCATCACACCCGAGGAGCTGCAGTGTCGTCTTAAAGAGTTCGGTCACTACTGCCCAGTGTGCCTGTCGTTATGCTGCCACCTGGTGGACTGCTCAGAAACCGCAGCCTTAACTCATGCAGCTGAGTTCAGGGGAAACTATTTCAAGATGTGTGGCGAAGACCATTTAGAGGTCAGTGTGGTAATTGCTTGTCCAAATGAACAGTTTCCTCCATCCGGTGGTTTCTATTTTATAGATATCATAGAATAAAATCGTTCAGGATAAGCAAAATACAGATATTTCAAAATGTAAATATGTAACGTTTGTATGTTGCTATCTCGACCACAGCGGTTCCTGACCACACCTGATCATTTTGTGGCTCCCGGCTGTGCACACACGCTCCCACAACCCCACCTGTTGCCAAAAAAGATGACTGAGAGTCAGGTGAAAAAACGGTTCCCACAGCAGGTCGAGATGAGGGGCTTCTGCCCGGTCACCTATCTGGATGGAAAGCAAAGGTATGTTATAATGAACATTACATGGGTATTCACCTGTACTTGTTCAAAATGACCCATAAATGATTACTCACTTTTTCTCATTTCTTTAGAAAATATTTCCTACGATCCAAAACCAAGTAAATCAGTGTAAATGGTACATTCATGTGTGCACAGAAATACGTACGGACAATATACGCTACGTAGCAAACGAAACTGCTCATTGAAATGTGAATAGAAACAAAAAAAACTCTCCATCCTGTCATTGTGAATTTTCATACATTTGTATGTATGATACATGTAGGTAATAATGACAATAAATTATGAAAAACTGCCACATCTGCCACTCATAACCCACGTCTCTTTACTGTATGATGTAGTTCACTATTCACGGAAAGTTGACTTGTCCAAAGGTATGAAGCTCTGGTTCGAGGAAAGATGGAATATGCGGTCGAATTCCGGGAAAGGATCTACATTTTTGAGACAAAGCAGAAACAGGACAAGTTTCTGAGGTGCGGAAACTCTTTGTATATTTAAACGTTTTGTAACTCATGTGTTCTTGTTTTGAAGAAAATGTGGTATCATTTGGCCACTACAGATATGTGTTTATCTCTGAAGGATTCCTGAAGCCTACTGCGACCAGAAGCTGCCCACCAAAGTGCCCCCTCTTTGTCAACCTGTACCTCTTACATCCCTTCCAACTCTGGGCTATCTGGAACAGGTCAGACCCAAACTCAAACATATCATGTGATACATGTGTCTGGCGCCTCTTTAACATCTGCCTTGCTGAGTTGAGTCCTTTTTTTCTAGGGTGTGGCAGTGTCAGTCATCAAGGCCATGACAGCGGTTGGGTGTCTCAAACCAAAGTACCCCTTCCTCAGCACACAAAGATCATCGCTCGTCTATGTGGCCTTCTATCTGAAAGGTCAGCACAGTGTCAATGCTGCTGCCGTAGGCAAAAATGAAATGCTTGTATTGAACAATCATGGCGGCAATTATATTTCCTTTTCATCCAACCAATGATTTTTTTCTTGTGTTTTCCCAGCTTTCAACAACAAGACACCCGAATCCACCCGCAAGAAGTACAAAAAGAAGCTGGCTTTGTTTGAAGAGGACTGTGCGCTCATTCCCTACCTGAGCTCAGCAATGAGAGGCAACTACCGGCCTCCCGGGGAGCGTCCCATTGACTTTGAGTTCAAACTAAATCGGTTCCTGGCCTTGGGAGACTCTCCAGTTGCTAACAGTGTCCTGTAGCTGTGCTATTTCCTATGGTGTTAATATGGTCTGACTACAAGGGGATGTGAAAGAAACTTGCATTAGGAGTTTGTTTTATACGCTCACACAATTCTGTGTTTCTCAGATTAGCTTGTGTTTTTTGTGTATTTTATGTTTAATAAGATTCTGAAAATTACTAATCTGTGTTGATTATTTATTTCTTTATTCACAATCCTTTGTCCACCATCATCAAATTACTTTGTTTTGTTGCAGTTTATGAACATTTGATCACACATCAACCTACAAATATCATGTCATGAAATACCTTCAAACTGAACAAACTCATACACGTACAGAAACACTGAAATGTCAGAAACTAGCTTCCAAATGCACAGCAAAAAGTTACATTCAGAGAATCTTCCAAACGTACATGAAAATGAAGTGTATCCACAGCCTATTAATAACCGTCTGTCATCCGCAGCCTAATGGCCGTCGGTATGATGCTTAAATGAGTTGATCATTGTTCCAGTCGGCCTGTTCACACCCCTTCAGCCCTGCTTTACTCCGACTTTGACTGTTTCCTGCCTGTAAAAAGGTATTTTGCCTCGATTTGCTTTGTCTGCAGCTGCAGCAAATGTTTCAGTCATTCCCGCTGTCCCACTGCAGGTGCCACATCCCCACATCCCTCTCCACACCTGAAAACAACAGCAAGATGCTTGACTAAAAATGCACATGTTTTTCTGTGGTTAATATGTAGTTTAGGTTTAATGAGAAGTACACAGCCTACATACTGTGTGCATTATAGCAAAATGTATACAGTCCATCTATGATTTTGAGATCTTAACTGGGTATTTTCCCTAAAAATCTGGTCGAACGAAGGAGCAATCTTGTATATTATTAAGGCTGGAAAAATTGATAATAATAAAAATGTCACACTAAGAAGCACAGATTTAAGGTTAGAGTATCATAAATATTATTAGTAACAAGTCAAAATGTCAGCAGTGAAAAAGGCCACCTCATTGTGTCAACAGCATAATACGCAGATCTTCATTACAGCTCTAAAAACGTGACACAAAATACTTTTAAACAAATGAAAAGTATTTGCTCGGTGTCCGTTCGCTGCAGAGGAGGTGCAGGTGGCTGGGCTCAGATTGCGTCTCTGCCTTGGTGATAGTCGGGGACGAAAGCAGCAGCCATCATGATCGGAGTAGAGTAGCCGAGGGCGAAGTTGTACAGACCGAGCTTCAGACACTTCCAGGTGCAGCGCAGGGCCTTCCCGACATTCTGGAAGACAAACCACACGTACTCACACATCATGCAGAATTAGGTTAAACAAATAAGGGAATTAAGAGCTGACACAAATTCAGGGGGAAACCTTATTTTTGTTGAAGAAAACCTGCTCGCGTGGAGCTGTAGAACAATGTCACCACAGGAGCAGCTCTGCAGTCTCTAATTATCCCTAAAGCGTAAACAAAGCCCAGCGAACACCATTGTCTGCTGTTCAAACAGGAACGCTCGGACCGGCTGGAGCGGAAACAGGATGTCGGATCTTTTAGAAAAATGGAGCAAAAACAATCCGTTCTTCAGTGTATAATGTTAAAATGACTCGAGTCTCCAATAGAACATATTCAAACGTAATACTGATTGGTGAGTCAAGTAGCAAACTAATTACAAAATAATAATACGACGAGCCAAGATTAATAACTAAAAGTGTTTTTGAAGTCGAGGCTTATTGAGTCATTTGTGAGCTGCTTATCTGACATTCCGACCATGAAAAAGAGAAACAAAAGTATGTTACTGCTCAGTATAAACATGAATTCCAGGCAACTGATACAAATATTGTATCAATGTAAGTTGTGAACATGCTTCACAATCCATTTCCGTATGAATCACACATTAAGGAATTCTAACCGCTGAGGACTGGTGAGGATCTGAAGGGTAAAGGTGATCTTCACTCTTTGACTCTTCTGACAGTAATTGCACAGGTTTAAATAGTTTTCACTGTACTGTGTAAATGTGACTTCAAATGAGATGATTATTAAACGGTTTGTGTTGTGTGAAACACCCAAGTACGATAATGTAAAAAAAGTATTTTTAAAATATAATCAAAATATTATCTTGGGCAACATGACCCGCTTTTAAGAGTCTGTTAATGTTCAATACAAAACAAATATTACCTGGTTACCAATAAACATTTATTACGTTTTTTGGAGGTCATGGTTTGTATGGATCATAAAGCAACGTGTCCAGTGAACGAACCACTGCTGCTTCTGAGGAACTCACACGTTGCCTCTGCAAACTGCAATCATCCGTTATCAATTGAATGATTCAAAACCTGAAACCCGAATTACAAACTTTCCCACAACACACCAGATATAAGGAAGTGGACTTTGAGCAGCAGTGTCGTGACATTATTTCATCTCTTCAGCTATCGCAGACAGAGGTGGGGGCGGGGAGGGGGCGGCTGTGTGAAGCTTTTATAGCTCTTTAGGGATATTCGTTATTCTGAGCGGGTTGACGTGAGCAAAGATGAGCCACTGCTGCTCCCAAAAGGAGAAAACAGTGGAAAATGTTATCGGAACTGCAAGGTTTTATCTTCACTGCAATGATTAAGTTCCTAGGTTTTAGGACTACGGTGATTCGTGAGCTCTGAAGCTAGTTATGATCTCAATAATCCCAATATAAATGGGATCTATGTAGCAACAGCATAGAAAAGAAATTATTTTGAAAAATTAGATATTTTTGAAATTACTTGTAGTACAACGGTGGCAGGAGATTTGTGTAGATCAAATTCAGAGTTTTTCAATAATTCATCTATTGAAATAATTTGATTGAGGCTGACTAACGCCATGATGAGAGCAGTTGTGGTTCACTTTTTAACTTAATCACAGTGAAGCTGGTAAGGTGCCTACAGAAGTTCATGTTCATTGAATCTCAACAATTTCAAGAACACCAACCTTCTTGACTTTTTTGTACTTTCCTTTCTTCCTTTTCTTCTTCTCTTCTTTTGCCGTGACTCGCGCCTCCTCATCCACCAGTGGCTCATACCTCTCCGGCAGAAATGCAAAGTGAACCTCTCTGTGGCACCTCTCGTTTTGTGCGCCGTTTTCTGCCCCCGAGTGAGACGGACTCTCCTGGTCATCCACTTGCCGTTGGTATTTTGCCGCTCGCACGTTCGTTTTTTCACCTGATGCAGAATTTCCGTCGAACAACCCCAATGGAAGAGATTTGGGCTTCATTTTGTCTGCTGGTCGAAGCTCTGTGATACAAAAAACCCCTAAAAGGACCAGTTTCCCTGTGGGGGTCCGCTATGCTGTCAGCAGATGTTATGTGGATCAGGGGAAGTGCATTCCAGGGGGACAGACGCGTGTGGAGGACTTGGCACGGAGCCCTTAAAGGTGCAAACTTCTCTTGTTGATAAGAGGGACCTTGGTAGGGTTTTAAGTTAAATGTTTCAATTCACAGACAGATAAAATAAATGAGCGTCCCCACTGTTCGGTTAGTGAGATAAAAGAAAAGCTACTTGAACATTGACCACCCGTTAAGAGTGGAGGTGAATATATTCCTGGAATATGCTTTGATGGATACAAAAACGCAAACACTGCATTTGTTTCGATTTGGTTTAATGAATATTTTCTTACAATGAAAGACAACGCTTCAATGTGACCGTTTTGCAGGGGACATGAAAATACCTCCCCACGCTGTGCAGTAATCCTTGAAACGGGATTGCGTAACAATGCTTAAAACATATACTTGTTATCAGTGTCCCAGTGCAAAGCATTCAACTGCCCATTAAACAGAACATCAAACTAAAATGATTTATTTTGGTCCCTGAGAGAAGTAATCTTCTGACTAAAACCAGGATGACAATAGAAGTACTACTGCTCCTCGTCCTGATTTCTTTGTGTGTTGTTGCCACGGTCTGGATCCTTGAGACGGAGGATGCGGATGATTTTACTCACTGGAAGAGAGCTGAAACAACAAAGTAGAAGATGAGAGGGCCTTAAAGGTCAAGTGATTGATGCTCTTTCTCACAGAAACTGAGCAGCGTGCTAAATTCCCGTGGTCCCACTCCCAAATAAATCATCGTATCTCATTTACTATGAGAATATGCAATAAAGAAGTTGTCGAGTGGTCGTACTGCTTTGATAAGCGATGCTGTGTGAGTGCATACCTCATGCTCTGTGGGGTCAAGAAGATGAACTGTCTGTAGCGTTGACCAGCGGCCACCTTCAGCATCATGTCCATCGATATCCTCCTGTTCACCATGTCCTAATCGAAGATGAGAAAACCCAACGATAATTCCAAGCAGTTGGCAACGGTCAACTCTCTGATAAAAGTGGTCTCTTGTTACCATGTAAACATCAAACTCGTCGAGACAGCGGAAAGGCGCCTCGGTGATGGCCCAAAGAGAGAGAACGAAGCAAACAGTGGAGAAGGAGCGCTCGCCTCCGGACAGAGAGCGCATGTCACTCAGGTCGGCCTTGTTTCCTTGGCCTGGCTGCACCTGCAGAAGAATGGAGGACACATCAGAAGCATTTCTTTTTAAACCATCTGGCCGAGAAGCTGTAGCGGCCATGTCTCGTGTTTTTAAGAGTGTATGATAATCAATGAAAAGATTTGCTCGAGTGTGGTCTTACGGAGATGGAGAGGGTTTCATTCTTGTGGTCAAAGGTCATACTTCCAGTGTATCCTCTCTGGGCTAGCATGCTATCAAAGTAGTATTTACAGCGGGCCGAGAGGAACCTGCAGGGAAAAACAACAAATGAACACATCATAGAAGTGATAATAAATCAAGGAGTCACAATTAACAGATTTCCCTTTTCTAGGTTTTGCTAATCCATTAGATTGAAAATATATTGTATATATATAATATATATATATGAAGTGAATGAAAGAGCTTTTGAGAGACTTTCTCTAGCGAGTGCAGTGTAAAGGTCATTTTCCTGGACACAATGTTAACACCTCACCTCCTGAGATCAGCATACACCTGGAGTCTGTGGTTCATGACACTATCGAGACTTTTAATGAAGCTGTTGAGGTACTTCATTTGCTCTGCCATGTTCTTGTAGCTCTCCAGAGCCTCATGATACTGCCTACACACGGGAGGAAGGTGAGACCGACGTTTGTTATTTTTCTTAATTTAATTGAAGACATTTCAGTAGCAGTGTAAAGACATACAACCAATGCTTACACCCATGTGACTACGGTTCAGTCACTGCCGTGTCGGGGGGGGGGGGGGGACGTACCTGACAACGTCCTCGCGGTCCCCCTGATGTTCCTGCTGGGTAGTGATTTTCACCTTGAGGCGGTTGATCTCGCTGTCTAGACTCCTGGCTGTGCGTTTTACTTCTATCCGCTCTGGACAGATTTTTGTAGCCTTCGCCACAGATCTCTGAGTGGCGGAGTGAAATAAACCTTTCAGATTCAATGCAGCCGATAATATGGTGTACACAAGCTTTCCCTCACAAAAACAAGATCCAATATGCTCAAAAGCCACAAAATAAACAAGAGCGTTATCCTCTGATGTCAGCGTTGCAGTTTGGTTCTACAACCTACACTTAGATTTCTGCTGAAAGCAGACAGCTCCCCCCGCTGACTTAAAACTGGAATTACAGCCTCCCAGTTAAATGCCCTTGCCTACAAGTAATGTTGGCGTTTAGATTTCTTAAAGTAGCAATGAGGCCCTGCCAGGAAGACCTTTGCATCCAGTAACCCTGGTATCTCAGTATGGCCCACCTGAAGTTCCTGCTCTTTGCTTTCCAGGTCGGCTTCAAGGGCCTGTATGTTTCGGAGGTGGGCACTGCGTTTCTCGTCGTAGTGTTTTTTGTGATGCTTGCACTTCATCACCTCCTGATCAGCCTTACTCAGCTCCTCCTGTAGAGGGACAAAAAGGACGAGCAAACCAAGAGAGACCGCATGAGCTTTGCAATTCGGTGCATTTATTTATTGAAGTACTGGAGTAAATAAAGTTTGTTGGATTCAAACAATTCACTGTGTCTGTAAGGCAGTTTTAATTTACGCTCCTCCCTGTGTTCAATGTCAGGACTGCCCTTGTAAATCCACCTTGTGTCGTTCTCAAAGATAAACTCAAACAAACTACCAATGACCTTGGATATATGAAAATAAAGCAACAATACAAGGGGGTTCTGACTTGGCGCGGACATTTTGAACCTTGAGTTGGCCTCCATATTACCTTGACCGGGTCTGCATCCTCAAAGACAGTGTTGATTTGCTCTTTGCGCTGCTTGTATTCCTGCTCGGCCTTCTCATAGGACGCCTTGACTTCAGCCATCTGAGCACGAGCCTTATCGTACTCTGCACGCTTGGACGAGATCTTAGATACAATCTCTTGTAGATCTTCCTCCTGTAGTAGAGTGGTGACAGTAGCATATCTCTTGAGGAAATCAGAGCTGATTGCAAACATTTTGCTGACTCGGGGTGACTTATTTGGAGATCATATACTGACATTTCCTTCAGTCAATATTCCATATTTTCTTTCCCATGTGTATCCCCTGGGATAAATACAATGCAAGTCCATTGGGGTTGATTATATGCTGTACTGATGTGTTTTACACAAACCAGGGGATTGAGATCTTCTGACTGGGGCTCTTCCATATTTTGTAGATCTGTCAACTCCAGCTGCAGCTTTGTGGCCTTGTCCTGGAAATAATAAACACATTCATTAAAAACATCACTGTGGAACACTAGAAATTTATATTTGAAATTTGTGTTCAATTGTATGTATTAAACTGGCAGTCTGTCCATTCGGTCTATTATTTGGGATTATTGTTATAAATTGTGTATTAGCGGTATGGTTTACTTTGGTAGTCCTCTGCTCTACTTGAGTTCTTCTCAGCAGCCCTTCATTCTGTTTGATGTCATCATCGAGCTTTCTCATCTGTTGCTGGAAGCCAGATGCCTGAGCTTTCTGGTTCTCCATCTCCCTCTGCAAGTGCCTGGGAGTGAAGAGAGGAAGCAGGAAATAGAAGCATTTCTTGCAACTAATTCCTGTTCTCACGTGTATTTTAAAACATCTGAATCTAAACATGAGTTTTATCTATACAGACATTCTACATACAGGAAGCACAATTAAGTGTACGTAACAACATCAAGATGCACATAAAAGACACACACACCTGATCTCCTCCTCAACATCTCCTGAGAGGTAGTTGGCTCTCGTCTGCTCAGCAGTGTAATTTCGGTTGCTGAAGATCTGATCTCCCTCCTTGGAAAAGGCCTGGCTACAGTGCTGAGGAGGGTTTCTGCTCTGCATGATTCTTCGAGCCTCTGTTCGATTCTACGCCACCAAAAGTGCACATAGTAGAAACGCCAAGAAGAAAAGACTCACGTCAATGCCTGAACAATCCCATGTTGTCTCGATTTGGGTGTTTAGAGCAGTCATTTATATTTAAAACAGTTTAAGGGTTTAGCACAGCCTCGTTAATTAATTAATTAAAAAATGTACTTGCAAAACGCATTGGCTTGTGAAATTGATAATAACATGTGTTACTGCGTAATTTCCTTGTGAATCAATCAATCGTTTTCACCTTAATGAGTAGAATGCTCTCGATACCCCTTTGATCAATCAAGCAGTTGGCCACAACCGGGTCCTCAATTTCTAGAGCTTGAAGCACGGAGGGGTGATCAGGGTGATTGACGGCCCTGAAAGAAAGAGAACCAAACAAAGCCGCTGATGTTTTAGCAATAATTCATGCACGTACGTAACAGATTAAAACAAAGCTGTGTATTATGCATAACAGTGTTTCAAGGAAATGCATTATCAAAACTGGACTAGTTGTTAAGCAGTTGTTTTTGTGAATATTGGCATCACCTTGATCTTGTGTCATGGACTCTTGGAAGGAAATTGCTTGTGATGATGGCAGGTCTACGGCCAGATGGGAACATTTTGGACATGAGGCCCTGCAGCACCCGCTCGTCCTCATGGTTATCACAAGTGAAGGCCTGCAGCTGCCCTTTGAGACATACTTCGACAGACAAGGCTAACTCTGGGTCCTTCAGGCTAATTAGGTACCCTGTAAAAAAAGACAGGGTAAGAGAAAAAGAGCACTTCGCTGTAATACATATTTATTTTACACTGCAATGTCACAACAGAGGTCTCATTGTGTTTATTACGCATGAAAGGAGTCAGGCAATGAACATACACACATTTTCACCAAAGAATAGGTGGGGACCAAGTCTTACCCAGAGGTCCCCGAGGCTTGTGCTTAAACTGGCCCTTCCTGTGAGCTTCCTGGATGGCGTTGAGGAGCCCCGGCATGTGCTCTCCAAAACGCCGCAGCCGGTTGGACCGACTGCTCTCCATAGTCTGCAGGTTCCTTCTGTTGGCCTCTATAGACCGCTGAA